CCATTACTCAAATGAGCTCTGGGTTTTAAGACACAAGGAATTCTTTCTAGCTTAGCATGTCTGTGTGCGCTACGCTCCGAGATGCTACTCTGCATGATGGACGCTATATAAATGAAAGTTGTTGCTGATCAGAGGCATGATGAATGCTGCATTTTAAGAAGCTTCCAAACTCCTGCACGACGGTGGTCTTAAGGCTAAGACCGTATGGTATTTGGGGCCCTTGGTGTTCAATGCAATACAATGCTTCCATTGATACACAGCGCCTTTCAGGCCGGCAGGACGGCTCAGACAGCTTGACACTGTTGGCTAGGCACCCGGGCTAGAGGGTGGGAACTGATGAGGTTGGGGGAAGGGGGGAAAGATGACTGAAAGCGAGATCAAAGAGGTACGTCTTGAGGGTGTGCCTTGAACGAGGGGAGGGAGGGAAGGAGTCGGAGGTTTGGAGTCCCAGAGAGCAGGGCAAAGTGGCTGAAAGCCCCGTTTACTCATGGTGGGGCGGGATAGCCTATTTAATTGCATAGGTTTGCAACAGTGTGCAATTAACCAGAGCGTCAATAACTCTTTTTTTCTCATTTATACTGGAAGGTTTCTAAGTTTAGCCTCTGCCTCGGCAGCAGTAAAGCCAGAGATATACCGCAGTCGTGTCCCCTCTGATTAAACGGTGGGAAGCTAAATCAACACAGTAGACATCGCCAAAGTTACACTCACCGCACTAAAAGTTCATTGAAACTCACAGGAACAGGAGTAGGCCATTCAACCCCTTGAGCCTATCCACCTTAGTCTTGAAAATTCTAATGGATCCTTCCCCATCTCCAGGTCACGCCTGAAGTTCTTCTTCTTCGACTGTACCAATGGTCACCTCTCCGCCCGGCTCAGTGTTGTGTTCCGCCACTGTCAAGCACTCTGGTACTCTACCCTGCATGAGGGGGTGCTTTATAAATGCAAGTTGTTGTTGTTGCCTTGGCATATCTGAAAGTATTGTCCCAGGTTTAATTTCTCCATCCCAGTTGGCATCTTGCGTCATACTCCCTATAAGACACTTCTTTCTTTTCAATGCTGAGCAGCTCCCAGTATAGTCTTAAGTCAGTCTGTGTGCCTTTAATCACAACTGGAAGAGCGGTCCATCCAAACACTCTGTTGCCAATCATTGAGCCATCTCTTTGTAGCAGCCAGCTTTAGAATGCCAGACTGTCAGTCAGTCACTGTTTTATCCTCTCGTACAAGCTTCTTGACAGATCCCAGAGTTCCAATAGTCCTCAGTGTAAGTTGCACTCACACACACACACAAACACACTGTAATCGATCTGCAATCGTTCACAATGGGAATCCGCCTGCTGGGTCCCCGCACAGGAGAAAATCAATCCCGTGGATGCTGTAGTTGATGCTAATGCTGGAAGCCAGAGACACTAATGGTGAAATCCGCATGTCACGGTTGATTAAAGCATTCTCGGCCTTCGGGGTGGTCAGAGATGGGCTGGCTGTCCAGAGTTGAGCCAGAATGTTGGTGGAAATGGACGTTGGGGCTCGGATTGAGAGCTCGACCCCCACCAGCCCAGCAAAAGCCGAGGGAGTGGACCTGGGTGTGTGTGTTGATGGGGGGGGGTGGTTATTGACACCTTATTTATATTCACATCAGCCAGGTTTATTTTAATTGGCCTTCTGCCTCCAATGTACTAAATTATTCAGCTTCTTAGAATGATAAATAATGTTGCTTGTTACATTGCTTAAATTGTTCTGGACTGTTAGGCTGTGTGTGGCTTCTTATTAATGTTCCGAGCAGTCTGCTTCCATCTGCGTCACTGTTATTCGGGATATAACACAGCCCTCTCTGCCTTTAGTTAAGAGAAAGCCTGCGTTACGTAATTACTGGCTAACTGAGCCACATGAAGAAGAACAGAGATGGCAATTGCCTTATACAGTCAATCCCTGGGTCAATGTAGAAACATTCGTCCACCTGCATTTTAAGACAGGGCAACGTGAAAAAAGAAATTCCTTTGTGATATCATTTCACTATGATGGGGAAACCAATTGTAATTGTTGGGAGACTGGAGATGTTGAGGAAATGACAGAAATCTCCTGGGGAGTATTAGAGACCTGAATCTGTGCTTTGGAGACATTCTCTGAAGTTAGAGCATTTTCTCCTCTGAGTCAGAAGGTCATGGGTTCAAGCCCCACGTGGGATAGTTTTGAGCCTCATAGTGTAGGCTGACTCTCCAGCACAGCACTGGGGTGGGAGTCTATAGAGCAAATACTGAGGAATCATCCATGTTAGCTCTCCTCTCCACTGCCTATAGGGTTTGGGCAGCCAGCCCGCTTTTGTGACGGTGACGAGAACGACACGCAATACACCAGGTACGGCCAGACCAGAACACCGTGCAAGCTTGAACAATGCAACAGAGCCTGTGAGTTCAACTGCAAGTGCAGAGGCAATCAGTTTATCCGGAGCATTCAGCCATGGCAGGGGCGGCTTGCGTTAAGTGATTTTGGTGGAAGGAGCGAAAGCTTCAGTGGTATAGCTGTACTGTAATGAAATTAACATCAGTGATGCAGGGCAGGCAGCTCAGTATGCTGAGGGAGACAACAACAGATTTATTTAACCAGCGAAGTACCAAGGATTGAAATAACACCTTGCATTTGATATAGCGCCTTATTAATATCGGGAGGAAGTCTCAAAGCGGCACATGATGTAATGTACTGTGCTACATGGCTGTTTGTGGGATGTTGTTGTTCACAGATTGGCAGCCAAGTTGAACAACAACAACTTTCTTTTATATAGTGCCGGTCACTCTGGGCAGCGTCTCAGAGCAATTAACAGCGGCGGAGCCTGACGCCGAACCTGGAGGAGGGAGGAGGTGACCGTAAGCAGTCAAAGGGGAAAGTCTTCAGTCGTGATGTAAAAGAAGGGAAGGAGGGGACAAGGCGGATGATTTGGGGGAGATCCCTCTCCCAATTCCTCCCTTCACCTACAAAATAGTCAATACACTTCATAGTAAATTCTGTGATGTGCATTGGAGAGATTTCGACGATGTGGTAAGGCGCCATATTTAATGCAATGATTATATAAGTATTTCTTCACGTGGAGGGCGATCAACGGTGGAATGGGTATCAAGGGCGGATAGTTGGGGCCAACACTCTGGGATTAATTTACGAGGCAGCTTGATGCTGTAATGGGAAGACAATGGGGTGAGGATTCAGGGAGGATAAGATCAAATGGGCCGAAAAGCCCTTTTCACCAGATCCTCTCTCTTACAATCTTGCAATATTCAGTTCTAAAGAAATAAAGCCTGCCTCTAATGAAAGATATGGAGTTAATATTACATTATGACAGCATGTTTCAAAGGAGTCCATTTTCTGCAAAATCGTTTTTTTTAAATCTGCTTCCTTTTTTTCTGGAATAATAAAACAGCAGCTGGTCCCTTGGCCTTTGTATTGACCCTCAACATTTCACTAAATAGCTCCTCATTTTCACTCAGCGCTTTGAGACATCCTCCTGACGTGAAAGGCGCTATATAAATGTAAATTGTATTGCATTGCAATGTTCAGCAGACCTTCCCCTCCCCCCAAAGGCACAATAGGAACATGGCCCCATTCCCTTTACAACGCTAACGACAATTTGCATTTGGTTGCCCGAGAAATGCACTGCCAAAGCATCTCTGGTTCTAATCTGCAGCCACCCTCTGCTGTCGCCTTCAGCAAAAGGCAATGAAATGGGACTGCGTTGCTGTTTAGATTGCCATCCTGTGGCGGTGGTGTTGAACAGCAGGATTGGGACAAGACGAACGGGACAACCACAACACAACTTGAAACCTGACCTGTTCACCTGACGACTTTATAATAAAAATATAGTAATTCTGCATTTGATACAGCACTTTATCGCGTCAGCGATGCATCTCTTTAGGTAGAAAAACTTTTGATTACAATGATACGGCGCAGGAACAGTCTATTCGGCCCAATAATACCTGTCAGTGTCTGTACTCCACAAAAGCTTCCACACCTATTCCCTTCTCCCTCATGTGGGCATTGAGTTTTCTTTCAAATCCGTAGTTGCTTTTTCCTTCATTCTGTCTTATGGATGAGACGTTAAACCAAGCCCCCCCCCCCCCCCCAACCCCCGTCTCCCTGTTCAGATGGACGTTATGGCACTATCTGAAAAGAGAAGGTAGTTTTTCACTCCCGGATTCCTGGTTAACAATCTTCCAGATAAAATCGCTCATTCACTTCATGGCTGTTTGCAGTTACATCGCTGTGCGCACATCGGCTGCCATGTTTGCCTGCAAAACACAGCCACTACACTTGACAGTACTTTACTCTTCCAGCCGTCTTGATTCAAACCGCCAGATCGGGTGCAAACCCTTAACTGTCTAACACCTTGGGACGTCCTTCCGATATGAAAGGCTAAAGGCTAAATGTAACGTCGTCGGCCAGGACACCAGGAGAGAAAGTCCTCTCGCTTTTCCAGTAGTGCGGAGGGAGGGAGGGAGGGAGGGGGGGGGTGGAGGGGATCTTTAACGTCCTCCCGAACCATTGGCGGTTTGACAGTTGTGGGACAGCGACCAGTGCCGGTTTGACAGGTCGGTGCGGTTTGACGGTTAAAGAGACTGCACGGCGGTCAACCGGTAGGTTCGGCCCTCCCGGTCCCAATCCCCTGCCGTGCCCCGAACCCGCGACCGTCCCGCGCCCTCGGAGTGGGGGGGGGGGGGGGACATCCTCCCCGACGCGAAAGGCGCGGCGTCGAAAGTGTGAGTTGTTGTGGTGGTTGTTGTCGTGGTCGTCGTCGTCGTCGGCGGCGGCGGCGGGCGGGCGGTTTGATTGGCGGGTGACGGTTGGGCCGAGCGGGTGCGGAGTGGCGGTTGGCGGTTGAACTTGGCCGCGTGCGGGCGCGTCATTTCCGGCGGGCGCGGGCCGGCGGGCGGGCGGGCGCGTGCCGGAAGCCTGCGGGAGTGACGGTTGGCGGTTGAAATTGGCCGCGTGTGGGCGCGTCATTTCCGGCGGGCGGGCGGGCGCGTGCCGGAAGCCTGCGGGAGTGACGGTTGGCGGCGGCGGCGGCGGCTTTGCCTTCCTTTCAGCCTCGGGAAAGCGGAGAGGAGAGCGAGAGGAGGCGGCGGCAACGACAACAACGGCGTTTGGGAAACCTCACCGTCGGGCTCGGGGTGAAGGACGGCTTTATTTCTCTCTCTCTCTCTCTCCCCCCCCCCCCCCAATATTCTCTCTCGTACTCCCCTCAGGAACATGGCACCTGGTACCCGGCGTCCGCTCCTTACCCTCTCGGCTCTAACCCGCTGCTGCAGACATCTAGACTGTATCCTCACGTAGACTGTATCCTCTCTCATCCAATAATTCCCCTCTTCTTTCCCTCTCTCTTCCCCCCCACCCGCCCCCCACCCTTCTTAATTCTCCCTCCCCCTCAATATTCAACCCTCTTTCTCCCTCCACCCCCCACCCCCTCCCCCATAGTCATCATTTCCCCTCAATGTTCATCCTCTCTCATTCTCCCCCAATATTCATCCTCTCTTCCCCTCTCCCCCACCCCCCCCCCCCTCAATATTCACTCTTCCTCCTTAATTGTCACTCTCAATATTCCCCCTCTCTCCCCCTCAAGGTTCACCCTCTCTCCCCTCCTCCCCAATATTCACCCTCGTCTCTCTCACAACGTTCACTCTCTCCACCTTCAATATCCACCCTTTTCCCCTCAATTCTCCCCACCCAATATTCACCTCCAGCCACAATATTCACTCCCCCAGGATTCAAACCGCTCTTAAATTTACTGAAAAAAATACTTTAAAATCAGCTGGTTGTTCAACACATTCACCTTTGTGGGTTTTATTAAGTTATAAGATATGTTAATACGTTACTTATTGGAGTCCTGTAGCTCAGTGGTTAGAGACCTGAGTGCAATTCCAGGCAGAGGGCGAAACCTTGGGCAAGTTTCCTTACTCCACACAGAGCCTAATAATAATACCTCCAAAACTAAAAACAATAATTAAGTTGGTCATTTTCAATCTACGACTGTTTGTGGGACATTGCTGTGCGCAATTGGCTGCCGCGTTCGCCCACAAATATACAGTGTTCTGTGAAGCACTTTGGGATGTCCTCCCGACATGAAAAGCGCTATATCAAATACAAGGATTATTATTATTGATAAGCTGCTATCACAAATGCAAAGGATTATTGTTATGATATGCTGGTTAACCCTCCCCCAGGGCAACTGTTGTAATTAAAACTGGTAGTTAAAAGTTAAAAGCATCTTTCAAAGCAGCTCATTGTTTGAAGTGATCTTTGGACTGTTTCAATGTGATATCGAACCTCAAGTATTATGCATTCCCATGACTAACTTTCCAGTCAGGACTGGGTGCATCCATTAGCAATTATAATCACTTCTGACAAAGTATGGTATCCTAGCTAATTGGTTCTAAAAGGCATTTTAAAAGAAGATTATTTTCCCAAGTGCACGTTAAACCACTTAATTACATTGAATCATATTTATGTTGCCTTGCTGTTATGATGTGAAATGTTATTATATCAAATGTAAGGAATATATTATTTCCGTTCCAGGGTGGTGTGAATATTTCATGCAGAAGGCTTGAAGAGAGTGGGAGAATGGCACAGGATGGCATTTATTATTACAGATTACCTGCTGTCAGATTCATCCCACTCATTAATTTTATCCTGTTTATGGATGGAATATCTACCATCATCCTGTGGATTTTAGGTAAACGTTCTTTCTAACTCTTTGCAATTTGCCAAGTGACACGCTAGGCAGTGCATTTGTCCACTGAACAACCAGGAGTACTCCAATTCTCTTTTTTGAGACTAAAAACAAAAACTGATTACCACGACTTTGATTGTTTTATTGACCCAACAGTACATTGTTACCTTGGAGTAACCTGACCATAATGAGAATTAAAATGGAATCGGATAAATGCTTGAGGAATGAAATAAAGAGTTATGGAGAAAGAGCAGAATTTGAAATTAGTGTATAACACCAGCCGAGCCTTGATGCTGTCATTTCTGGCTTATAAATATAAATCTAATATTTTTTCTGCTTTACGCTGTAAAATGATCAATGGAATTTTGTTGGCAATATCTGGGTATAAAATTTGTTAACAAAGTTATCATTTTTGAGTTTTTTTTAAAACCACTTATTTCTGGTGATCACTTTCATCTTTCCACACTTTGAAATTTACTCTTGTTTGCTCATCAAAATGCGTTGTTTATTTTAAAGGTGGTCGGACTCACTATTTGGAAAATGACGTCCTTCACTGGTGCTTCTGGCGGTCCACCTTTGACCTCACAGCATTTTGCACAATGAAGACTTGTATCCTGATAGTTCTGTACCTAACAATGGAATCAATTGCGTTGAAGCAGATTGATGATCTGAACAACACAAACCTGAAAAGGAAGAGGGAAATCTTGCACCTGGTTAGCTTTGTGATCTCTGGGCTCTGGGTTGTGTATACTTTGGCCAAAGGAATTACTGTTCTTGTAAAGCAAAGTTACTCTGAGGTAAATATCTCTATATTTCATTGTTGGTGCTACCGTTATTTCTTGCTTTTTTGTAACTTGCATTTCTAAATGCAACCTAAAAGTGTCCCAAATACCACCCAAAATGGGAGAAGGCTGTATTCTGAGACTATTATTATGAAATCACCAGTTAATAGCCACTAAATCAACAGGAGATCCACATCACTATTATTGCACACTTAAATAAATGAATACCATCGATGTGATGGTGTTTTTTTTACCCCACAGTATAATTATTAGCTTCGAGTTTCATATTAACCAATTGAGTCAGTTATGTTCACTTATGTTGCCAAGGTTTTAAAGTACCAAGAGGGGCGAGAGTGATCTCGAGCAGTGAATAAGGCACAAAGTGTGAACGTAGTTAAATGCTCCATGTTCAGTCAGCAGAGAATCTTCACTCTTTGAACAAATTAAATAGATTTCTTTCAGCAAAATATCTTGGGATACAATATGTAGTTTGGGACACAACCTGTGCATGCGACATCCAAGATGGTGGAAGGCGAACTGGATGAACCTTGGTCTTCTTCTGTCTGGCAATTCTTATGTTCCTTGAAATCCTTTTTATGTTGTTAACTGCTTAATTTTGACTGGTAAAATAAATTTGCAAATTCAGGTATGTTTTTTTTCTTCTCCCTCCCACTCCTTCCCTCTTCCCCTTTTGCAGATGCACCTAACTTTCAAAATTGTCTGCATCTCTACCCTGGTCTTCAGCCTGATTGAGTTCCCTTTCTGCATTTTGTGTAACAGGTAACGAACCCTTGTGACTTGCTGATTAATCTGAACATCCCACTATGTTCAAATCAAATGAGGCAATCATAAATAAGTAATGCTTACTGCATATTGAAAGGATTCCATTATAAAGGCTTGTTTGAAGATCCTGATAAATGTGTATTCATTTCATTACAGTGATTAGATCTTGTTTTATTCGCTCTTACCAATAACCATAAATAAATACTGGTTTAATTTGTAATCCAATGTCTTCTGAACTTCCGGCTGTGGTTTCAGACAATGATTTGATTACACCAGAACCAGGCAGATATTCAAATGTAGATTGACTGCACAAACCACAAGCCCACAGATGGAGAAACATTTTGCATTGGATGTCTGTTTCAGCTTTAAAAGTATCATCCAGACTAATTTGCTTTAGAATTTTCACAGAATCGTAGAAGTTACAACCAGCAAGATGCTTTGGGGCATCATTCTTAGATGGTGTGAAATCATCCACTACGTTAATTACTCTAATCCAAAATTCCTGCTCTTTCAATGTATGCTTCATATTCCATTTGAAAAAGCAAGTCAGTTTGCACTTAGAAGTGTCCCACAGACAGCTGTGAAGTCAGTTACCAATTTTGTAAGGAGATTGTTGGCCAGGACACGTGAGAAGCTCCCTATTTAATAATATAGTATTAAAAATATGTCCTGTTTATACTGAGGTTTTGGTGATGGATCAGCTAAACTGACCTCTTCAACACAATGTGAATTGTGTCTGAACGATTTGATTACTGTGTGTAACTGGCCAATTCTTACTGTCTCAGGTTCCTCCGGAGGTTGCAGATCCTACGCATTGTCCACAGCATTGAAGAGGAAAGGACTCGAAAGAGTAAAGCTGATCTAAAGAGACTCTTCTCTTTAGCGAAAGATGTAAGTAATATTTAGTTACTTATAACAAATCAATGGCATCTCATTTACAGGCTTCCTGCAGATACCCTGATGCATCCCACCAACCTGCCAGACCTTCGCTCGGATGCTAATTTCTTTCCTGGGGCCTTTATCTGTGAATTCTGCATATTAGATTGAGGTGTAGATCGACCAGAGAGACAGACTCCCTCCCACCTGTGGCCAGGGAAGGAAAATCGGAATGGGCTTCAGTCACTGGGCTGTTGCTTCCCTGAAGGTGTACTCAGTAGCAATAGCTAGTTTTTGAGAGCTGAGGTATATAAGTGGCTAGGGGAGAATCAGGACTGAACATGAATAAAAACTATTTGAAAGGACTGGAACATAGTTTTTCTTCTGTTGCTTGTACAGGAAACATGGCTCTGTGTCGGAGGGCTGCTGGCACTCGTCGCCTCCTGTGTGTCACAAGTCGTTGCTCCTTACTTCTTTGGCAAGGTCATTGATTCGGCTATGGACTCGATGGGTATGTGAGTTCTTTTCAGAGCTGTAAACTTGAAGCATGGTCTAAAAAAACTAATTTAGTCTCAAAGTTTGATGCAAGTAAAAAGTAATTTAAAATGAGCAGAAATCAGCATATTTCCCATTTGTAAGTTATGTAAAATTGGATCACAATGTGATTTGTACTATTGCAGAGTGGGGTACAACACACATACCCACATACTACATTTTGCACGTTAATTTGATGCAACAGTGGTGTGAATCTTGCTGAATCTCACTACAAGCACTGTCAGTGGTCTGAAGGTACCTACTGAAATCACCCTGATGAGAATGTAATAGAAATCTATCTTTGGACTCTTCAAATTGCTTCTTGAATATGTGTGGTAGCATAACTTTTAAGGGACAAAATAATAACAAAAAATAACTATCTAGTGTTCAGCAATGGTCAGAGGAATTAAACTTCCCAGATTCCCCAAGGAAACCACCTGACTTGGCTACATTGGGAACCTCTACTGTTGAATGTGTTTGTATCCAGCAGAGGGCACATTGAAGCTGCTTTCAAAAAAATATTTTATTCTTCTGTTTTTTATCAGATATTGACTTCTTTTTAGTCATTCTTATTTTCATCTTTTTTACTTTTTTGACTTTACTTACCTCTCTTTGTGTTAATGAATTGATGTGGTGAAATTTGAGATGTCTTCCTTCAGGCCTGGTGAAAATAGAGACTAAAGTAGGAAAAAAAGCTCCAATTGTCCTGGACAACTGAACCAACAATGTGGGGTGGTGTGATGTGAACATTAAACTGTACTGTGGTGGACCTTTCTGGATTGGATTTTTACCATTTTCATTGTGAATGTGTGTTGCGTATTGGCATTATACATTAAAACTTTAACATGTTGACTGGTGAAATAGCTGCCAGGACAACCAGATTGTTGGTTATCTCTGCCCAGGGACAGCTAAATATCTTTCTCTTTTAAAAGATTGCCCTTTTTTTTTCAGATGCTCTTGACAAAATGATTCTCATCCTGTTTGGAATTTATGTCGGCGGTGCTGTGTGCTCCTTTATCCGAGCCTATGTTTTTGTGCTGGCAGGACATAGGCTGGTGGCTCGACTCCGCAAAAGGCTCTTTGGTAACATTGTGAGGCAAGAAATTGCATTCTTCGATGAGAACAGGTGGGTAGGACGGGAATCAAAAATGACCTGTCTTTCATATAAAGCATAGTGGTCCAACTGGTGTTCCACAACAGACCCGCAGGCTGATTTTATCCAACCCATCCTCTATTTCATCTGGCCCACTTGCTCACTCCATAACCGTAAATGTTATGTTATATTTCTGGAAGGGAAGCAAAAGTATTGCTTATGCGGCCCGCAGACATTTCCCAAATAGGGCATCCGGCCCTCAGCAGCCAAAAGTTGGACCCTCCTGATATAAAGCAAGCTAGTTGTCGTTTTTTCTTTATTTTAAAATGGTAACTACAAATGTCCTTTGCTGGGCCACTGGAAATGATTTCAGAATAACTACTTGCACTTTAATTAGTCTTAAATAAAACATGAAGAACTATTAAAATGAGAATTACGTTTCCTCGTTGGTATTCCTGGCGGCGCTCACTTATTTGAACGCAAATTGGTTGGAGGTAATCTATATACTCCAACACTCTCCTCTCTTGAAATATTCTAAACTGTTTAAATTGCCTTCTTGCCTCCAGAGAGTCTCTTTTTCAGCTTGAAAGATGATACACTAAGTTTCAGACCTGCTTCCCAGTTGTCAGTTGTGGTCCATATAATCTGATAGAAGGTGCAAATCTGAGTATAGCAAAGCTTTTCCACTTCCAAGGTCACAGAAAGTAGAAGAGTTAGAATGACAATCAAGACAGAGTCTGTGTTTTGAAGCTTCCAAGAAAGAACGGAGTCCACAGTATTTTAAAATATGAACTAAATAGTACTGTGTGCTTCACTGGTGCAGACAGATTTACGTATCATTTTTGAAGAATAAAAATTCATGACATTAAACCATTTTAGAAAGATTAGAATTTCCCAGATGACACTTTTATTCACTCAGCGTAATGTGATTTTATTTATATTACAGTTTTAGCCAATATGTATAAATAGAATTAGTTGCTCAGCTGTTAAACTGGAGCCTAAAATACGTTTGTATTTTGTTGTCATAGTAACAGTGCCCATTTTTGTGCAACAGAAAAAGTCTAATTGTGTGTACAGTATAATAATCTGCTAATAATCCATACTGAATGGCTGGCTCGGGAATGGACCATCGGAAATTGCCCAGTTTGAATGGCACAGCCCTCATGTGCAGTACAACCACCACCTTAATTACACTGTTTAATTAGTTTCAAAAAACAATGTTTAACGTCCTTAATTTCCTGTAGTGTCAGTGTGACTGCGAGATTAGAGGCACTGGATGATAAATATCTTAGCAAATTACATAGATTATATCTTGCAAAATTCCTCTTTCAATCATGCCATGCAAGTTACAGAAGACTAGGTTTGAACAAGCTACAAAGTTGAATAGAAAAAATTCAGTTAAACTGTCTTAAATTCATTATCAATAGCGAAAGACTGGCAACCCTTCCATAAAACCACATAATGATAATGGAACATGTGAATGCAAAAAGCAAACATCATAAGGTTAAACAGTGTAAAACAATAGGAAGATTCTGAAAATTACATAAAATGCTCAGTTAGGGCCTTAAAGCACAAGCCTGAACTATTATTTATTAACCGTTTACACAGGGGATCAAGTAGACTTGACAGTGTTTGTAATTAAAGTGATTGATGAAGAACAAAGGAATGATGTGAGCCAAAATTGGAAGTTTAGTCTATTTAAGATGTATGACAAGGTATGTGGACATTGTAGATTCTACTACTCTAGAGATTTGTTTTTGCAAAGGGCTAAAAATATTGCTGGCATCATAAATGCTTTCTCATATATATATCATAATTCATAATATAAATATATATATCCTATACATATACATGTGTATATGTAAGCCACGGAGTTCATGATTTCCATTAAATTAATCTGATCCTTCATAATATTGTTTTACATTTTTCAAATAAAATGAACCAGGTAGGAATTCTACGTGATTCCATAATTAGGTTTAAATTATTTCATAACACCATTTAATAATGTCAACTAGGGAGTGAAAGGCTGGCAGAGAGGATATTTGAAATTGAAATGCATTCCAGTGCTGCAGTGGCTAATCATAGTCCTATTGTTTCAGCGATGATCCAATGCACATTCTGGTATAATTGAAGTTGTGATGACAGTATTACAGTCAAAGATGATTGTTAACAGCAGTCCATAGTCTGGCTTTTTGGCCTAATTAGTGAAGTTGAGACTTTGGTCACTATCAGCTTAGCATGGGGGAGAAACAGACTGAAAAGCTGGGTTGAACAATATGTTGCTCTGATTACTTAGGTATCCCCCAAGATGAAATTCTACTGTACCATTTTTACTCTAACCGTAAATAGCTGCCCAATTCTTGTACCATTACAAATTTAAACATGATAACTGTAACAGGTTTGACCGTACATACACAATGCCCCTGTCTTTAGAAGATCCTGAATAGACTAAGAAAAGATAACCTGACAATCCAGGTGGCCACCTTCTGGGTAAACAATGAGTGCTCTAGTCAGAGGAATAAAGCAGCTGTGATGGTGATCACAGGTGTTTAGGTTTCCTCTGTTAAAAGTTAACCCTTGTCCAGAGCATCGGTGAGGAGACCTCATGTAACTCAGTGTAATGTGTGCCCTGCAACTTCCAACACTTCAGAGGTAGAAGGCATGCATATTTTCTGTCTTTTGGGCTTTTAATAATATGAAAATATTTCAAGTATTTCTAACTTGTTGTAGTATGTAGAAGTGATGGAAACTGCCCCAGGTAAGGCAACTGGTCGTAAAGCGTCTGCAGGCTATAATAGCTACAAAATGAGTACTTTTTGCATGAATTACAGCGTAATTCAGACACAAAGTGCTCATTTTGTAGCTATTATTCATTTAACAGACTCCGTTCAATTGGTGAACGTTGATTTCTGGTTGCTATTTACAGAATGCAGAAGCATTCTGGGTTGTAGATATTTTTCAGAATAATTTTTATAACAATTGTGAAGAGCTGCTGTTAAAAAGGAACGTGTGTAATATGCAATATATGCACCTGGTACTAACACCCCTCACCCCCCCCTATGTTTGCTTTCACTAGAAGTTTTACATACAGAACTTGTATCAATAGCTATTTTCATTCGTTGTAATGCTTTTTACACAATATATGATGCAACTTGGCTAATAAGTAAACGTTTCACCCACAACATATTCAGTCAATTCACTTTACATTATTTCTGTGACACTCTTTGAGACGTCTCGAAGATGTGAAAAGGTGTGATATCAAATGGAAGGGGTATTATTACTATCAGAACCGTGTCTGATTTCTGTGTTGTACGGGAAATTATTTGACACTTGTTAATTTTAAATTTTGTTTTGCAACAGAACAGGGGAACTAACCAATCGGCTGTCATCCGATACCCAGATGATTCAGAATGCTTTGACAGTAAGTACAAGAACCATAGAATCATACAATCTTACAGCACAGAAGGAGGCCATTCAGCCCATCATACCTCTGCCGGCTCTTTAAAGCTCTATCCAACTAGAACTAGAATAACGCAAGTGTTTTACATTGTAAATGAAAACTAATTTTTTTATTTTTTAATAATTGCTCAAACAGTGGTACTGTAACCCCAACAACCTCACAAATTTTAAAAAACTGAAATTGGGAAGCGCTTAACATAAATATAAGTAGCAAATTAGACTCAAACCGTCTTTAAAATATAACTTTTGGAGTTAAAGTTCATTTGCAAAGCAGAGCAGAGGGAGCTTTGCTCTGCGTTTTGTGTAGTTGCGTGTAGTTGATGTTGTAAAAGTACTAAAGTGTACAAAATGAGACTAAGTTGTACCTTTGAACCAGCATCCTTAAATCTAAGGCTTTCACAAAGAAGAATGGGCAAGGTGGATTGATTGCGTGAAATAATATCATTGAGGGGGATTGTTTGACTTCCTCTCACACATTTAGTGAATTTGCCCTATATTTTGTTTAAAAACAAGTCTGATGCATTGTGTACTGATGCCTGGTTGACCTTTGTCAATGGTGAATGTCACATTGCAGGGGCTCTATTTAGTTCATGCATATTGACGTAATCACTACAAGATTACTGGGATTCAATCGTCAATAGATTACTATAGATACAGTATACAGTGATTTTACNTTTTTTAAGCTTGCCTTATATGATTTGCATTAGCAGATTTCCAAGGTTGCAAAAGCTGCTTCAATAGCTAGGTTCCTATCTAGCACGTTTTATAAATGTAATGTTTAGCTTTCTGGTAAGCCAGAATAATCCATAATGTGTTATGGAACTAATTTTAAAGGTTGCAAAAGCATGAAGTAAAGATGTTGATCCGTTGAGTTTGCTCGGGCAGATTGCGAATGTGGCATTTTCATTTGATTTCAGGTAAATCTGTCAATGTTGCTGCGATACACGATTCAGATAATTGGCTCTATAGTTCTGATGTTTGTTGTGAGCCCAGCACTGACTGGAGTGTTACTCGCTTCTATCCCGGTTGTTGCAATTGGAGCAGTTTTGTACGGTGAGTTATCATTTCAGCCTTAAAATAAGGTGCTATAGTAAAGGAAAGTGTTGCTGGCTGTGTTCAAAATCAGCTTTAGTGTTAAGGGAAGAGTAAAACGAATTGTGTAATGTTGCAGTAGCATCAGACTTTATTTTTCAACTCCTGGTGAATATCGTACTCAACAAGTTGAGAAAGTCTTCACATCAGCCTTGAACACCAACAAACAGGAAACTTTCATCCCATGAATCTGTGTTGAATCTGATCGCAAGTCCCAGCGGAAAATGGCTGGTGTGTAACCTATTCCCTTTTTACTGTGTGTCAAGCTCTCTCTCTCTATTGCTATCATTTTTCGTTCTTCTCAGTTTATTTTTCTCATTGTCTTTCCCATTCATCACCATCTCCTGGTTTCATCACCTGCTAAGTTATCATGTTTCTTAAAGCTTACCAAGATTAACTCCCAATTTTTAAAACCTGTTGATTGGTTTAATTTTTTTCTCCCCCCCCCCCCCCCCCCATCTTCTGTTGCTTTTACAGTCAAATCTGATGATGTTGGCCTGGAGGCGATCCTACAATCAGCAGTGTGCAAGAACTGAAATAAAGATTGCAGGGTTAATTGCTATCTCAAATGATGCTAATCCAATTCTCACTGTTTAAACTGAGTGTTTAAAAAGACAGGGGAATAGAAAAGACCAGAAGGATGTTAAACCTCTTATATCTTTTAAGAGGCGTTCTGGTATTTGGATTTCTCTCTCTCTCTCTCCCACTTGCTCTTTTCATAAAGAAAGATATAAATATACTATTGTTAGGATGCATCAGGGTTGTCTGGGACTCGCTTTGCTCATATCCTATTATGTGATGCCAAAGCAGAGTTCAGCCATCTCTAAGACAACTCCCCAAACCCCAGTTAGCTATGATCACTCTAACAGAGTATCGCATTATGTCCAAGCTGAACTAGAATGCAGTGACCTAAAGTTGTGTGTCAGCTGCCAGGCAGTACTTTAACAAACAATACCGAATTGAGACTGATGTTTTATTTGCGAAGAGATTGTCTGGAGCCTCTTTGCTTCCAACCAGAGCAATGTATAATGAGATATTATAATTATACAACATGGTCAAAGGCACTTTTATTCCATAGACATTCATTTCACATTTGGCAGTGTATACTTTTATTTGTACTTTCTTAGCTTTTTGAGGCTCCCCTTCCAGTTCAGGTTTGGATCATTAAAGTGGCTACATATTAGTAGTACATATTTCCAGTATTTGTCCTGTTTGTTTTCAGACCACTATTAATTTGTGGATTTTGGAAGGCATTAATGTAATTTAGAATTAATATAATTTAGAATATGGGGAAATAATTTCTGCACCTTTTTTTTAAAAAAAGGTTGAAATTCGTCTTCATCAGTTAAGTGGGTCTCTGTTTAGAGCAGGGATGGTCAACTTGCGGCCCATGGGTAGGATTGTCGTGCAAGTTGTACATCCCTAGTTTGGAGGACAGTAATTCAGGGTGGTGGTATGTTGGCACTCCAGGAGAGTTTATGAAGCGATTGCGGAAGAACTTCCAGGATGAGCTGGCAGCTGTTGGGGTGACGGCAGAGGAGACCATTTCCAGCATCCGAACCGTGAGGACTTTCTGCAGCGAAAGGAAATCCGAAGACTTCTACTGCAAGGGAATCAATCAAAGTTACCAGATAGGAAAACGCCTGGCACTGGCAGAAGGTACCTTTTTTTTGTTTTTTCTAAATTCCAAGCGATTTAGATGCAAAAATGGATTGGGGTGTATTATACTTTCAACAACAAGATTTCATTTATAGAGCGCCTTTCATGTCAGGAGGACGTCCCAAGGCACTGGACAGTTGGGTCAGGACCCGAGCAGGGGGGAAATGGTCAGGGTGAGGGGAGGGAAGGGAGGGAGCGAGGAAGGGGTAGAGAGTCGAGAGGGGAGCTGAAGGCTCGGTCAAAGAGAAAGGTCTTGAGACCGGCCTTGAAGGAGAAAAGGGAGGAAGCAAGGCGAAGGCACTGGGGGATGGAGTTCCAGAGCCTAGGGGCTGAGAGTGTTTCACTGTTATTAGCCCCGTTCCGTAAGGGTGCATCACCTAACTATAAATTGGGTTTGAATATGGTAGGCTGTCAGCCAGACCAGCACTCAGGACTACAATTGACTTTGCTCCTGGGTTTGGGACCTGGAAATTAGAAAAAAAGGCCCCCAGTCCTAATCGGAATCCATCAGAGAGACCTGGAAGCTTTACTTGTGGACATCCAGAGGTAGAAATTCCATCTAGTGCTAGATTTACTTTTATTACCTGGTTTTCAGGCATACTGCCCTCGGTCTCTGGGAGTCCATCCCATCTCACTCCCTTTCCTCGTTCAAGGCCCATCTCAAGACATACCTTTTTGACAGTGCTTTTGGTAATTTTTTCCCTTTCATCTCCCACCTCAGCTCCAGTGCCCAGCCAGCAGTTCCGAGTGCTTGAGGCATAGTCCCAATGTGAAAGGCGCTATATAAATGTAGATTATTACAGTAATTTAGCATTTTAGAGCGTCTAGAATGTGTAATTTTTAAATGGCCTTTAATTTTGAAGCTGGTTTTATGGAAGTACTTTGAAGAATTTTGCACACTCTGAACAATAGGGCAATTTTAGATCCAGGTGGAATTTGTGCCCAACAGTGAGGGCAGGATTGGACTGGATTATGATTTCTTTCCCTTCCCTCTCACCCCCGGAGTTGAATAGGCTGCCAATACTCAATATTGAATCTCCTACATGATTGCTGGCCATCGGGATGGTGTACTAAAGAGCTTCTATGTAACTAGACATACTCCAACAGAATAAAAGAGAGTAGAATATTTTCAGGAGGGTGGGAGAAAGAGCTTTTTGCTAACCAAATAATTCAGATCTGTGTTGTAGTATTTGGAACTTTCTGGTAATTTTATCTTGTGCTGAATGGTATTATCCAATTTAAAAGCCATGTGGTTTGTTTCAGCCTGTGCTTGAGATATTTGTGCTGACTCTGATCTGTTTACACAGACTATTTACACATTTGTGGCCAGCTGATATTTTACATCCTTTCCTAGTTTATGTTCCACTGCATGAAACCCACTGGAACATGACTGTTATCTTAACTTGTGTACCTAAAAAATCTGTGTCTATATTTGATTTTACTTGTAAGGTTTTGTCGTATTTTGGAAAGGGCATGATCATTAAAATGGTTAGCAACAACAACAAATTGCATTTATATAGTCTTTCACGTCGGGAGGACATGCTAAGGCGCTGGACAGTCAAGGTTTGCACCCAACCCCTTTGTGTTTGTTCACTGAGCCACAAATGCTTTGCATCATTTATAATTGTGACGTAATTATAATTTTACTCTATTGCCTTATGTTTGTAAAGAAAAACATTTGCCAAATACTTAAGTAAATTCCCTTTAAAGCCAATAAATCTACAATACAACAATGTTTCAATTATGCAACAGCAACTTTGCCAATACCAGTTTACCCCTAGAAAGACTACAGATTACCTCACTTCATTGCGCATGTCATCTGGTAGCACCAACAATTTTTACAGTGAAATATTTTTCATAAATTGGAACAGAAAGTGTTGGGTATAATCAGAATCCCAGCGCTTAAATTATACAGTTACATATCTTGTGTGTTACTTTTGCAATTTGACATTGAGCTTTTAATATATTGCTGTTTCTAATGGGATTCCTTCATAAGGAAACCAAGTTTCTGGAGGTGTTCAGACTTGCAGGACCACTGCTCTGAAAGTGAAGCAGGTCAGAACACAGTTCCAGCAGATGAGTGATGTACTGTTTCTGATTTCTCTGTTAAGGATTCCGTTAGAAATTGCTGCATATTGAACTCTGTTGTGACCTTCAAGAGTAATCAATCTATTTCTTTAATCCTAAAGTTCTTTGTGTTGTGTTATGCTACTGTTTATTTTGGAAAAATTCTTATGTTGCATGTTTAATCTTTTTAAGGGTCGTTCAATGGGCTGGTGCTGACCATCTCTCAGGTAAGTGAAGAGCTGCCTCTGGAAATATGTTTGAATAATGCACCTAGTGGAGAAAAAGAATTCAGAAAGAATTGCACAATTGCCTTGGGTTCCTAAGCAAGTTCTTACTCTGTGCTTTTTACCTTGTCGCAGTTTGTGTCTGACGTGTGTTGTAGAAACTAATTATTACAGTTGTTGGTGATTTAAACACATGCGGCAAAGTGCAATTTTAAGCAAGACTTCTTTTGGCAATAATACTGATCAGACATGTAGATGGTTAAATAAGGTTGTCCTTAGGGTTTTAATCAAAGTTACAATTTAGATCCCAATTTGGGCAGAATGGCTTGTATACTATTCCGTGATTGTGTGTGTGTTGTGTAAGTATTCTAATTAATATAGACTTGCAAACCTGGTAAAATAGGACTGGTTCAGAATCTACAATGAGTGTGAGTGTCAGACTTTGGACGGCAGCCTTTAGAATAATTACACTGTGGGGATATTTGTCTTAAGTACTTGAGCTACTTATGGACAGCATTATGACAGGAAGAGAGGGATTGTTCTTGTCTGTGAAGGTACTGAGTATTGCCGGGCCATGCCATGTTTGTTTTTGACTTAACATTAATCTTTGAATGTGAACTTCAGTAGTTTGTTGACTTGGAGATTTAAGAGGATGTATTAAATGCTTTCTGTTTAATAAGTCTTTTAAATCTAGTCCGATAAAAGAATATGCAGTTTGGACTGTGCTTGCTCGATGCTTTGAGATTAATCTTCACCCAAGATTAACTTATATTTGTAGAAACCTGTATGCTGACCTTTTTTATTTCTTGAATGCACAAAAAGACAGATTTCCTAATGCACTATACCGGGAACAGATTTGATTGACCTTCTCTCATTCAATGTTGTCTGGTTCATATATCAGTGATGGTGATATCCAATTGTGTTGCTCCATTGCAAGCCTTGAGTAGGAAAAGCAGGCAGTTGTTAGAATTTGTGTGGGAAAGCACAGCTTTGTGCTCAGAACTCTACACACTGCACAAAAGTGTGCACAGAGTACACGTATATTCAGCACTCTGTACTTGCGTGAAGGTGTTCCTCACATGTGTGCATGCATGCATGCACAATCCACCACAAATGGTGTACAAAATGCTGCATGTGTGCGCTTTCCACTGTGGATATATGTGCTCTGAGATCCAGTTACCCAGCAGTTACATTTTTGCTGTGTTTGCTTTATTTCTACAATGCATATTTTTTTAAAGTTTTCTTCTTGAGCGTATCATCTTTTCAGTCTCTCTGCCAAAATATCTGTGGGACAAAATCAAAGTTAATAAATATTTCACTTTTCAGAGGTCATCTTTGTTGAATAGAGACCAAGCTGGCATTCATCCTTTGTAGTCGCAGTCAATAATTCTGCTGTGTGGTGTTGCTCACCTTGGCAGGAGGGGTGACCCGATTTCCCCCCCCGCCCCCCAGCTACACGATTAGCTTGCAATTCCTCCTTTCGCTGCCAAAACTAAACAAACCAGCTACGAGTTTTCAAAGGCTTCTTCTGTTTAGAGCTGTGCAGAGAATGTTTGGTGTAAGGATTAAAAAATGTAATGAGACGATTCAAAATCTTGGCCTTTCCATCATTCAAAGTGTAAATATCCTGTCCTTTGTGGGATTGTTGTGAGAAGGAGCAATGTTTATTCATGACCTGAAATGTGTTTGAAAGATCAATATCCCCATTCTGTGGTTTCTTTATCTAATGGTATTGAGAGAATTATTCAGCGGAACAATGATTTTCTGGTACATCTAGATTTTTTAGATACGAATCCTGTACTTAACATTCGTAAGAACAAAAATGGCATTTATTACAACAACAAACAGCAACAAAATTACATTTGTATAGCGGCTTTCACATTGGGAGGATGTCCCAAGGTGCTTTATTAATCAATTTAATAAATACTAATAATAATCCTTGCATTTGATAAAGCACCTTATCACGTCTTTGAGAAGTCTCAAAGTGCTTCACAGGATATACTGTAAAGTAAATTGACTGTATATTTTGTGGGCGAACAAACAGTCATAGATATAGTCACACACACGCTCACACTCTCACACACACTCTATTTCTCACACGCAGCCTGTCACGTACACACACACACACGCACACCATCTCTCACGCTCTCGTCCTCTCTTTCTCACCCACTAGCTCTCACTGTGGAGTCCTGTAGCTCAGTGGTTAGAGCACTCGCTTTACAAGTGAGAGACCTGAGTTCAATTCCAGGCAGAGGGCGAAACCTTGGGCAAGTTTCCTTACTCCACACAGAGCCTAATAATAATCCCTCCAAAACCAAAAACAATAATAAATTGGTCATTTTCAATGTACAACTGTTTGTGGGACATTGCTGTGCGCAATTGGCTGCCGCGTTCGCCCACAAATATACAGTCAATTCACTTTACAGTGTGTTCTGTGAAGCGCTTTGGGACGTCCTCCCGACGTGAAAAGCGCTATATCAAATGCAAGGATTATTATTATTATTATTATTATTATAGTGACCAAATTATTACTTTTTTAAAAAAATATTTTTGTTTTCACGGAGCTGAATGCCAGGATGTTGGCTTTGATTCATTGATGATGCCATGAGGTCTTTTTTAATTAAAAAGAAAAATGAATAAAAAAACAAATCTTGGAAGCAAATTATTATTGGTGCAATAGTTATCCTAGTAGTTCTTTACTGCCATTTCCGTTATGAAGGGATAAGACATTGGTTCATCCACTGGCCTACCATATTGTACCATAATACAAGTAAAACGCCATTGAAATGGATGGAGTTTTGCTTGCTGGACTTTGCCAACTTAGATAATTTGTCGGCCACAAACTTTGCAACACAATATTCGGACACTGTTGCAATTAACACAATAAATTGGATTGTTGTCATTTGAGATCTGAATGTATTCAGAGCACAAACAGTGATCGCTTTGATGTTGCAGGGTGCAGTTGTGCTTGTGCTGTGGTACGGAGCCAAACTCGTTTATGATGGAAGACATAACAAGCCTGGGATTTCATTTGGAACGCTAGCGTGTAAGTAAATGGAAAAAGGTTGATCATGTTACTATTGCATTATATCCCACATTAGATACAGCGCTTTATCATGTCGATCCATCATAAAGCACTTCATACAAAGAGCTCCTTTGAAGTAGTCACTGTTATGTAGACAGACGCAGTAGCTAATCTACGCCTGCAAATCTCACGCACAACAGTGAGATGAATGAACAAATTTATTATGTTCTTTGGGTCAATTTACATGAAGTTTAAACGTCATATAAATGATTAATAATTATTGTGAATAATAACCTTATCAAATATGGTCAAGGAGGCTTGGTGGGAAACTCGGAGAAGTGATGATAAATAAGTGTTTTAGACTTTACTCTTGTATGAAGAGGGTAGGTAATGTGGAATGGTTTCAGGTACAGTTAGTGTGGGAAGTAATAATTTGTTTGTTTGTTGGATTATTTTTAAGCTTTGTACTCCTTCAGCAAGTGTAAATACAAAAACAAATTCAATAAAGTCTTAAATTAATTTTCAGTAGCCCCAAATTGCATCTAATGAATGTTATAATTTTGTTTGAATTACCTTGGTTACATCTTTTTACTGGGTTCATACCTTCCAGTAGTTAATGGTCTGTTTCATAAATTACTGTATGTCGCATGTGGAATTTAGTCAAGGTGTATAATTGAGAAATGTTATGCTTTATTTATAAGTCTTCAACTGGGGAATGCAATTTTTTTTAACAAAGTTTCCCATTTGTGCTATAGAATACTCTAGTATTTATATGTAAACTGAGTGGTTTACAGCAATACCACTTTTTCAATAGTATAAGAATTCAACCATCCAAAATCTATTGCCTAAAAATTAATGATGGCTTTTTATTTCAATCCAATTTACCTACCTTTATTCCTTAATACCTTTACCTTCCAAGTCTCTTTCTCCTCATGAATGCCTCAAATGCCTTTTGAAGCAGTGCATTCCACATTCTCGAAACCTCTTCTATGTGGAAAAATGTTTCCTAGTTCAATTGGGACAAAATAGTTTACTAAACAGATGTAATTTGTTGATACAACTTGTGTAGATTCAAATGTTTCAGGAGCGATGTTTATAGAGTGATTAGGGTCATTGTATACATTACTAGCCTAATGTACTGACCTCAAATCGGCACATAAGTTGCCCCAATACTCATCTCATCAAATGTGTGATTATGAAGAATGTGGGATTTTATTTATTGAAAATAAGAAACTGTTTTGGGAAAGTAACTGGTGTTATTAATTTTATTGGTTTGTGTACTTCTATTCAGAATCTAACATCAAGATTACTGTTTGCTTGTAGAAACACATTTCAGGAGATTTATTTTGTGCAGACTGGTATCTATAAAAGGATTTTAATTTTGTTTTTTTAATACTCAGTTTTAAGATCAACTGGCTTTTCATTTCTTTAGAGGTTACAAAGAGATTGGATCTTGTTTGATTAATTCTTGCAATAATCTGGTCATGGTGATTGATTAATGACATAAACTTCCATCCTTCTAACTTTCAGCTCAGAGGCACATTCTTCACAATAAGGAAATGATTCTGCCAGTACGTAATGTCTGTAATGCTAACTTTTAATAACAGAAGCTGAAAGGAGAGGAAAAGGGCAGGGGGAGTACTTTATTATATATATTTGAAGCAATTTTTCGATATGTTTTCTTTTCCTTACCCTATTTTAATCCAGTCCTTTTTTGTGTTGTTTATTTTTTAAATTAGCTTTTATGGTCTATTCAATGAATGTTGCTATGGCGTTTGGAATGTTGGCGGCTCTTTACGGTGACTTCATGCAAGCTGTTGGAGCTTCCATCCGCATCTTTGAGCTTCTGGACCGGAAGCCAATGATACCTTGCTCTGGTGGAAACCGTCTGCCTTTTCTCGACGGCAGTGAGTACTTCTATTTTGTGGCTCTGGGTGTAGGTTCTCTCCAATCCAGTCTTAAAACTGTTTTCACAATTGATCTAACCCCTCTGAAAATATGCTTTGGTGAAGGGGGAGATTTTTCTGCCTGCAAATTACTTAACATGTTGCGGCATGTATGCTTCAGTGCTCTTAATTTAATCAAAATTTTAACAAAATCCTTGTACTCGATATAAACACGACTATTTCTCGTGCTGTGCGCAATTGGCTGCTGCGCTTCGCCCACAAAATGTACAGTCAGTTCACTTTAAAGTATATTCTGTGAAGCTTTGAAACATTTTGAAGACATGATAAGATGCTATATCAAACGTAACGATTATTATGGTGACATTTACATGTCAGAAGGATGTTTCAAAATGGTTTACAAGATTTACAGTAAAGTTTAAATTTGGCTGAATGGTCTACTCTCATTGTCATCCTCTTGCTTGCCGTAGCTCATCATTTTTAAGTATAGTTCTTTTTTCCGGACAACATGAATTCAAAGGGGAAAGCAAAGAGTAATTCTGTTTGAAGTATGACCAAACTTTTTTTGCTCTGTTTTAAAAATGTTTTCTTACTTCAGGACTCGAGTTCCAGAAAGTCAGCTTTACATACCCAACCAAGCAGGAGTCCCAGGTGCTAAAGGTCAGTAAGACGGGTGATGTTTTGTACTTTTTTTTTAAGGGGGGTGGAGCTTGGATGAAGCATTTGCAGTGCAAGCACAATCTGTTTGTGCTAAGAAGGGAACATTTGTGTACAAGCCAATATTGCTTGGCATTTTAATGTGTAGAAACGTCAGCCCTGCAGAGTGGAACATCTGTGTTTAGTTAAATATCCAATGGCAGAGCGAGTAGGTTGTCATGCTTTTTCTCAGTTTCGCCTTGCTTTAAACATAGGTACACGTTAGAGCAGTTGCGCAATGTGTTGAGAGGAAGGGCCTACTGCAAAGGATTAGATCATTCTTCTCGTCTTGTGGTGCAAAAGGTTAGCTCCCTTGCGAAGCTGCTGCTGGAAGGTAAAAGCACAAGTGCGGCTGGTTCCAGAGCTAAGTCTCCATTCCCTTCGGCAACACCAAACATTCTAGCTCTCATGTGCAGTGTGCTGCTGTGGGAAGCAAAACAATTATCCCCATGCAAATTGCAGTCTTTGAGATTCATTGAAAGAGTAGATTGCAGTGAGCAAAGTCTTTATATAAAGACCTGGTTGTCAATGTATTCTATATAATTTGAAGGAGGCGTTTTTAAGATATTTGACATCCTGTCAGTTTAGGTTCGGTTTCAGCCTAGGTCCCAATAGATGGATAGGCAGGTATTCCGCTCTATCTCAGCGGAAGCATTCCTCTTCCTGGCTTTGGCATTTGTTGATTATAATCTGCATATAGAAATATCTCTAAACCTGTGATCTTTTTGTCCTGCCTCATTGACGTATCTGAAAACATTGTTCTAGGTTCACTTTGTCTATCCCTCTGTGAGATCCCCTCAGAGATCTCTTTATAAGGCTTACAGATCCTAACTTATCCAGTCATCTTGTAACTGATCCTAGGGGATCAGGCATGTTGCTGTCTCCACTTTGCCTCTAGGGCTGGAGCAGCTTCCATATGTCGTTTTATATGTTTTGTGTGTGCTGAATGTGACTGCTCTGTGTGGTCATGAACACTCAACAATCAAATTTGATATCTGCAGGTACCACAACTAACAACAACTGTTTGTTTGCAGGAAGTGACGTTTACAGTGTCACCGGGTAACATGGTGGCACTGGTTGGCCCCTCAGGTGGAGGAAAGTCAACAATAGTCAGTCTGATAGAAAGGTTCTATGATCCTGACTCTGGAAGAATTTTACTGGGTATGATCCTCTACAATTATACCTTAAGTAACAAAAATATACAATGATTGCATGGCAGACTGAAAACATGGAAGTGCCCCAAAATGCCATGCATACAGACTCCATTGTGTGTTTTAGAATGGGAGAAAAACAGTCTTAATAAATATGAGTATTAAGGGATATGGAGACAATGTGAGTAAAATGGGATTATAAAATCTGCGTAGATTTTCATTTTTAAAAATGGCAGAACAAGCTTGACAGAACAAATTCCCTACTCTGTGATGTGCATTTTTGTCTTTATTTCTCTCCTTCCCTTTGACACCCACTTTGTCCTTGCCCTATGCCTGTGTTTTTCGCTTCTTAGCTTAGGATGGTAGTTGTTGTTGCAGATGGTAGTTCTGTGCCACTCTGGTTGAATATAAGAATTGTAGTCTCGGCCATTCAGAATAGCTAACTCAGGACATTGAATCCAGACATCTTCCTTGATCCTGAGATTTGATATAGTTGTAGAGTTGTTTAGGAATGAGCTGATGTACAATATTGTAATACCAGATTTTATTGATAAATGACAACTTTGCTTGCTACCTACGATCACTAAACACCAGCCAGACTGGATAATAATAACAGTCCTTGCATTTGATATAGTGATTTATCATGTAGTCGAGACGTTTCAAAGTACTTCGCAGGATGTTATTGTAAAGTGCAGTTACTGTGCATTTTGTGGGCAAAACGTGGCAGCCACATTGTGTTTAAGCTAAATGACCTGTTTCTGAGCTGTATCATCTATGAATCTATAAATTAACTTCTGAATGACTTACTGAGCAGAACTGTCCTTTTGCATTGATGGACTAGGAGGCTGTGATCTGCAAACCCTGGATCCACAATGGTTCCGGCAAAAGATCTCGGTGGTGAGTCAAGAGCCCACCTTGTTTGCAACGTCAATAAAAGAAAATATCACTTATGGTAGAGAGGCTAACATGGAAGAGGTAAGAGTATTGATCTTATGGGACATCCTCCCGACCTGAAAGGCGCTATGCAAATGTAATTTTGTTGTTGTTATGCTGATGTTCATTTCTACAATACAATTTGTATCTTTTTGAAAATTGCAAGATGTGCTCTACTCTGTATTGGTTTTTGAAATGTTATTCATAGACCCCTACAAAGTCTAGGAGACCACATGTGATTTGTTTTAAAATAGATCCACCAAGATTGACAGCATTATTGTACCTTGTCCTTCACTTTTTTTATTTGTGCAACAAAGCAAAGGTCTTTGACTTAATTGAAAATAACAGATTTTGGTTGGAATCGGGGAGAGGAGAGTACGAGTTCAAATCGCAAGCGAGAGATCAAACACCTAGAACGTAAGAATTTGCTAGGCGACAGAAGACCCAAGATCCATCCAGTTCGCCTTCCACCATCCTGGCAGTCGCTTGACATTTTGTGTCCCAAACTATATACTGTATCCCGAGATATTATTTTCTAACAGAGCTCTATCTAATTTGTTCTTGAAACAAACAACACTTTCTGCTTCCACCGTCCCCCTAGGGAGCTTGTTTGCGAGTAGTGTTTACTACTCGCTCACTGAAGTAATGTTGCTGCAGATTTGTCTGAATTTACTCCCCTTCAATCACAGGCTTCTGGTTTTATTGTTCAGTACAAGAACCTTAAAGAGCGTAATCATATCGCCCCTCAACCTTCTCTTCCCCAGCGTGAACATGCCCAGTTTACCTAATCACTCCTCATAGTCTAGTTCCTCCAGCTGGTGCTAATGGGAGTGAATGAGCTGGAACAGGACTGAACTTTTCAGCTTTAAACTTCCGTGTCAAGACTTTATTGCGACTCCTAATTTTTTTAAAAAAGAAAGTTAATGAAAATGCAAAAAAAATCAAGCCAAACAAGAAATTGACAATGTCTGCTTCTCACTGCTTGAAATAGCTAGTAATCTGAGCATGGTCAAAAGCCAATGCTGACCCATAGAGCTTTTTTGCATTGCAGGATGTTCTCTTTCACACATTGGAATAATATGTGAATGTTTTTACTGTTACCAAGAGGGGAAAGAGTACAAATGGACTGTAAAACTGTAGGAAATACTCATGCAGTTTGTATTTATTAGCCTCACCCAATAACTGGAAGTGCATGAGATGAGAAGTAGAAAGGGGGAATCTGTTAGGAGGGTAGTGTATTGTTAAAGGATTAATTTCAATTCTGCAACCAACTCAGCTTTGTAGTTCAGCGAATGCGAACTCGCAGTCTTTTCGAATGTTTATTCAGGTGCTCTTCACTATCCGATTCTATCCCTTTTCCCCCCAATTGTTCCCCTGATTGTGTGTTAATTATGAAAGGCGATATGATAGGGAATGCAGCACATCAGAGCCCCAGTGCAACCAGCTGGCGAGGTTAGAAGAGGGCTTAGATCCATGATTCCCAGATAGTCGTGTGGAGTTACGCTGGGAGGATGGGGCACCTCCCAACTTTGAGGGAGAGAAGTCAGAGAATCAGTCATTGCTCTCGCACCATCAGGAAGCCTGAGCAGGTGCACGGGAACAGGCAGACAGGAATGCGAAAATAATTTGGGGAAATAAGAAAAACGTGTTGATTGAAGCGTTTAAAGTAGAACAAAAGTAATGGATTTATTTTAGCCGTTCACATTCCTAAATGTCTCTTCAGTAATCTGTGTGCCTCGGTGTCATTCAGAGCCTTGACAGTCAGGTACTGTCAACAGCTATAATATTAGTTGGAGCTTGGAGATTGTCCCCTATGTACAGCTGCGTTTGTACCAAACAGTGGACCTTGTGTCTTACTAAATTATTTTCTAGTTTTCGGATCTAGATTGCCTCACTGTGTAGTCATTTGCTCAAATGTTGCTTTCCTATTTGATATTATTATATATTATTATTTATTATTATAGATTGGCGGAGACTGCAGGGATGTTGATTATACATTCTAGTTAATAAGCCCGTTATGCCTCTCTATCACTTTCGTTCATGGTAATGGGTTTGGGTTAGATTATTGTTTGATGCTATTTGCATTATATTGTATATTGTCAAGAAGTGTTTTATTCAAGAACACAATTTAATTTTTTTTGCCATCTCCTCTACCTAATTGACAGTCATGGAGGCTGGGAGATGTGCCTAAGTTTAGGTGGTTTTGATCACATCCTTTTTCTTGGAACCGTCGTATATTTAAAAAAAACTTCAAACATTTTTTTTTGTTCGTCTGATAATCGTCAAACCAGTGGGTGTCGCAAAGTCTGAGTTTATATTGCACCCCAAGTGCACCATTATCTCTTCCAGATGGTCTCTGTAAATTTCTACATTTGGTTTCTCTATACTACACTTTGGCATCAGTTCAACTCCCAAGACAGTGCAGTGTTAATACTGATACCCAAATCTAGTGAACGTAAGTGCTGTGTAACAGTAAACCAATATGCTTAGTGAAGCAGGGATGAATGCCTTAAATTAGTGTAGTTTGGGAAACAAAGCAAAAAAAATCTTTGTTTTATAAGCACAGCAATTTGCAACGGAAATGAAGAGTTAAAAATACACATGCACTAAACTTGCTTTTGGGAAAACTGACTATTAACATTAAATAGTCTTATTTTAACTCTGCTTTGCTGCAGACTTTTTGATTTTTATCTTATTTTAGAAAAATAACGCTTCATTCAGATTCTATTAAATTTATCCCACCCCAGAGAGAAATGCTTTTAAAACCACTATCCAAAGTAATTGTAAAGTTTAATAGCCAGTCACCGTTTCCTTTTTCTCCTCTGTGCCTTGCATGGCAGTGTTTTGTATATTTTCCTTTGCCGTGTACTTCAATAAAGGGGTGGGGGGGGGGGAAGAAAAAGAAAGCACAGCTTTGCAAGAGTGTGCGTGTGTGTCTGGTGCCTCTCAGAGCAACAAATGCAGAAGGATAAGATCCAGCCATATTGATTTCAATCAAGCATCATCATCTTTACCAAATTAAGGTGAATAGAAAACGCTTAAATTAATGTGTGAATTGGGTATAAAGTTATTTGGCAAGAGATCCGCTGGAAACCGGTGCCTTAAATAGCATTTTAGTTCTCAGCCATAATACTTTTTTTCCTAGTCTAAGCACAATTTCCCAAAAAGATTTGTTTTTTTGTTCAATTGCACATGTGGAGATAATTTAAGTAACTTCACTTTATTCTTGCTGATAGAGATTATGGCAGAATTATGAAGCTTTTTTTTTCCTGCCACCCATCTCTCCCCACCCCCCCCCCCCCCCCCCGGGCCCAACTTTGAGTCTTTGAGAGTGAATATACCCAGCCTATTAATACTGACAACAGCAACTATCTCCACACTCCCAGTGGGATTTCGACATGTCTTCTCTGAGTGCAGAGAACACACTGGTTTGAAGGAAATCATTTTATAAAATCCACTTCTTGATATTGCTGATAGTACAAGTTAAATTTGAGGAGGAGGAGGAAAGAGTTGAATAAACTGGAGATAAACAACTGAATTTACTGATAGCTTCCAAGGAATAAGCTCTGCTTAAGCTGTGACATCTGCGTGTATAGAAGCTTAGGTCGCACCTTGGGTTGCAAAGCACAGCATCCTTTATGCCAGAAACGGTGAAGATGTAAGTATCCTTGAGTGGAACGGCTGGCTGCCTGTTCAATTCGCCACTAATCCACCAAGAGATAGCTGATGCCTCTTTCAGTCTAGTACTTAATTACCGCCATTCCATTGCAGTTTTACAGATAGCCTTCATTTCATGTAAATATTTAGAAGCCATTTAATACGAATACTGACCAAAAAGACGAGAAAAGGTTTGGCTTAAAAAAACAGCTTAATTGAGTTGAAAGTTTACACATTGTAAGGGACAATCTTGCAGATTTAAACAGCTCCGTGCTTCAGGAGGGGTCAAGGCTTCTTGTTGCCCAGAGACTAAGGTCAAGCGAGAGGGGCCCATGAAGGTGGAGGAGTTTATAGGAGATTGTGTCAAGTGAACTGCCAGTAAAGGAGCTCCAGTTGCTTTTTGTATTCCCCAGCTCCTGGCAAAAGCTCATACAATTTTGTGTTAAAAGCAGCATGTGTCCTGTAGCTGTTTAATGGCTATGTTGTACCACAAGACAGATACATTTTCTCACCTCCATCTGTGTGTGTATGTATGACAGAGAGAGAAGGGAAGTGGTCACTGCCCAGCAGTAGATTCATTACAAACAAGATTAGGTTGGGGGGAGGGGAAAGAGCCACTAATTCTTCTGTGGCTTTTGTTACTTTGCCTTTGCCTTATCCAAAAGTATCAGATCATGGCCATTTTGTGTGTATCCACGAGCCCCTGTGGCTCTTGTCTGTTGCACACTGCTGCGCTTTCGGGTGGGACGATGTGGTCTGTGACATCTGCATGTGACCCCCATTTATATTCTTCACACGGTGATAGCAAAAGATAGCCTGCAAGCTTTGTGCTCCTCCATTGTCAGTCAGCTGCTGAAGTCTGGTCTCCAGAAATCTTTCACATTGCATATGTTTGCTCTTCACTCTGAAGAGAAACTAAATTGAAGGAGGTGATCAGTTCATGTGGGGAAGGGCGTGGATTAGAGTATGAAGCTCTGAGGGGAGCTAGTTTGTGTTGCATTTGAGGGAATATCCCTGGGTTATAAAGAAGCTTTGTTTTCTTTAGGGAGCCCTCTCTCTTCCTCAGTTCACCTACTTCCTCATATTTTGAAAGATGCTGGGAATGAGATGATCACTATATCAGTGTATCATCTGCAGGTAGTAATATTTTGGAATGGATTATATATGAATCGTGGAAAGTACAGCATGAGAGACAGACATTTGACTATCAACCGTAAACTAGTGCTGATTACCTTGGAGCTAGCTGTTAATCTGAATTCTCTGCTCTTTTCCAGTATCTGTTCCTAAAAGTTGGCTTGCTCACCAATTGCTGTCAATCATTCTGTTGACAGTGCTATTCTTGGGAGGTTCATAAATTACATGGGTGATAGGGTAATCAAGATTAGGATGCTGCCTAATAGAGATAAGAAATTTGGATCTGAAGATACACTGCATCATACAGAAGGTGTTTTGTGGATATAGAATAGAGGTAATGTAATCGAGAACATTTACCCCCTTATCAAATAGCAAATATAACCTATTGAACTCAAGCAAGGTCAGTATTTGTGCGGTGACATATTGATGAGCTCTAGCTGTTAATATGTAGCTGAAACAAAAGGAAATATAGCTAGTGTCTATTCACTCAGTGTATTTAATGGGGTCAGGCATTTGCCAGGAATGATTCATTAGTCTCTGCAGTTCACTAAACGAGTGTATGTTTGTAACCCCCAAAAAGATTCCTTACGTGTGAAGTGTTTGGTGGAGGTCTGATTTTTCAACTGGCATATTTGTCAGGAACAATTTTGTGGTAGAAAAGGTCTCCTTGTGGTAATGCGCTTGAGTTTAAATCCCACTGTTACTTACTGGCCCCTGAGCCTGTCAGCTTTTTAGTAGCTTCAGGCCATGACTGCTTGTAAAACTAAAACAGGAGACTGTATAAACGTGGTCAGAATTGGAGCATCTCTTTCTTTCTGTTAGTTGGACTTGAAGTGGAGACCTCGCTTAGCATTAGCATGCCATTTTGGGAATTCATCTGCAATTCAAACAGAACTTGCACTGCCCCAGTGATCACAGCGCTTGTTTGAAAAAACAAAGAGGCTGCAATAATTCATCTTTTATTTTATAAATGAAACGCAATTGCTGAATTCAAAAATACATTATCTTTCACAGGAAACACCTGCCTTTCATTACATTCCCAGCTTTTTTTTGTACTAGACATGTCCCTCAGTTTCAAGTAATGCTTTCTATCTAGTTAATGTTTAGACTTTTTTTTAAAAAAAGACTTTCCTCACAGTTCCCGTGAGTGCCGTTCAACCCTGCAGGCGTCATTTCTTAATTACATACCTTTTAACTTCAAAGCGCACACAGACCTGCACATTTTCGACTTTGTTTTATTCAAAACTTTATGTTTTGACACATTTTCGTTCTTTGTTAGACGTTTGCCAAAACATACAATAAAGAGCTTTCATTGCCTCGATTTTTTACGTATCTGAAAAAGTTTTTTTTGTACATTTTTTGGCCGTTTCTTATTTTGATGTTTTTTTAAAAATATACAGGTCATTGATGCTGCCAAGAAAGCAAATGCTCATGATTTCATCATGTCCTTTGAGGTAAGTGCATGGGTACAATGTTATAAGACCAGTCATCTGTCTACATCTGTTTGGCACATTGATAATTAATAGATAATCTCTAGCCTGACGTAATAATCCTTTCATTTGATATAGTGCTTTGTCACATTGTTGAGATGTCTCAAAGCGCTTCACAGAATATACTGTAAAGTGGATTGACTGTATTTTGAGGGAGAAATGTAATTGTATTTGTATTACACTCTCTTTATACAGGATAAGTGGGGGTGAGGGGGAATGAAAGGCGCATGGAATGCAGTAGGTTTGACTATATTCTTGACTTGAAGAAAACATTCTCTGAGCTTTGAGTTCAAAGTATGCAATAAGTTCACTTTGCAATACGTAGAGTCATTTCAAGGTATTGTCCATGAATTCTTTTGTCACTTATGTGCAAATATAAGCAACAATGGTGAGATGCTTGTATCATTCTCAGCAGGATAGGATGAAATATTTGTGATTTGAGGATTTATCCAATTTTGCAGGTTAAAACTTCCATCTACAAATTGTGCAGCTCACCTTACATGGAAACGATCGACTCTTATAATTATTGAGACCTCCCTCAGTGTTGGAAAATAGTGTTGGAAGAAAAATTCTCTCTGATTGGTGTAGTAAGAACACGTACAGACATTCAGGATTTTATTTTATTCATTTTTTTAAATCCTGCCAACGATTATCTATTTTCCTTTTAGATTCCAGACAAAATGAATAGAGAATTGAAACCATCTGCTGTTTTTTAAGTACCTACCAGTTAAAAGTGAAATTTGTCCATTGTTGTTTAAATGAATCCCAGACCAGCGCAATGCATCATATTTAGCATTCAAAACTGTGATTGACAGCTTCAGTGTAACAAAGGGAGAACAGGAAGGAGACAATCTAGCCATCAAACCCACTTTTCCCACAGACCACACAAAAGCTACTTTCACCCCATCCTCTCCATCTCTTGGGGCCAAACTGTTGTATAGATAGTCCTGGATTCCCTAAGGTAATTGAGGAAAATTCCTCTATTCCCACATCTCCACTGTTCAGCTCTGCTTCCTTTCCTCCACAGACATTTCTTTGCCTTGTTTCAGTAGCGCTCAAACCATTGTCACTCAACCACGACTGTTTGTGGAACACTGCTGTGTGCAATTGGCTGCCGTGTTTCGCCACAAAATTCACAGCCACTACACTTGACAAAACAGTTACTTCACCAGCTCTTTATATATCTTAAATCGACTGAGATCAGCTGAATTTGTTGGGAGCATTTTCACTATGGCGAGGAGCAAGAACAATACCTATCTGAAATGGTTTTATTTATGTAACGTGGTGATCTTGTGCCAATTGCTTTATATCATTTGCTGCTGTATTGTTAAAGTTGTGGTGTAGCAGTGACTTGATAATCGATGTGCTGTTACATAAAGGTATTCACATATTTTTATATATATATGTATAAAAATGTTTGTTGTTGCTCTGAATTAAGTAGTGAAATAAACTTGTAGTTACTCCACATTAAGATTACACCATTGACCATGAAGTTTATGCTGCCTGCATAGAGATGCTGCATAAAACATCACCTCCACCACCCTGAAGTTTTCCACCTTCCCAGAGTCTTTCAAGCATAGAATGAAGCTTTAGATATCTGACGTTCAGGTCATCTAAATCCCTTCTTTATTGCCTCCAGTGCGATTTGATATGTGCTATACATGCTGTTACTAGTGTGTGAAATATTCAAGCAGCACATTAAAACTGCTGTGCCAATATTCTATTTTTTTAGCACTCCTGCTCATATTTATGTGGCATCAACTTCTGCAAAGATCCATTATTAAGCAGTATTCTCCTGGGAATCTTAACTTATGGTATTTCCAACTTGGGTCATAAATATTCAACTTCAAGCTTTACGTACATTCCCATGTCTGCCAATGACTCTTAACTAAGCCATTAACAATTTAGGAATATTCACTGAACAGAGCAGTGCCTTGAAACTCATTAGTCGGGGAGTTGTTCATATAGTAAATTACATTTTCTGCCCATTGTAAACATTGCAAAGCATCCTCGTTATTTTATAAGTTTTCTTTCTGAGACTGAATGTTTTATTTTCTTGTGTGCCAGCAATGGCGTTTCTTACAATTAGCTGCAGATTAATTTGTAGATGACATGCGATGATTACATCATGTCTTGCCGTCAGCGTGGATATGGAGTCAGGTGTTAACTGATGGAGTATCGTGGCTGTCAATGGTTGCCAGCAGAGCCACTGCTAAAAGAAATCAGTACGAATGATTTCTAGGTCTCACCATATCTGATCTCCATGAGATTACTGACCCCAGAATCTACAGTAAAATAAGATTGACTAACTATCTCACCCAAGTGGACATCCAAGTGTTAACAGTGACTGCACGTTGGCAGACTATTCGACTGCCAGCTCACAGCTGAAGCTGATGTCCACAAATGTAAACTTACCAACAGGGGTCTCTGCGTAGTTACTAAGATTGGGGGTTCTGGCTGATTTATACTGTAGAGGTTACACGTTGCCACATATCTAACCGGATCTTAAGAAAGCTAATTGTTGCTTTACTGTGTTTCTGAGAATGAGGATGGCCTCCAGCACCCCATTCTTGTGGCTTTTTAAGGCATGTCAGTCTGTACTACACTACAGTCTATACTTTAACTTGTAGAGCTGTCCTTTTACTTAACCAAATAAGTCTTTCGCAAATATTTTGTTTGTTTCCTTCAGGTTTTTGTTTCAGAATCATAGACCCGTTTCCTTTCTTCCACAGAATGGATACAACACAGTTGTGGGAGAGCGTGGAATCAGACTATCTGGAGGCCAAAAACAGAGGATTGCCATTGCCAGGGCTCTCATTATGGATCCTGCATTGCTCCTACTTGATGAGGTACCGTCTCAACTTCGTATCGAGTTCTTGCGTATTTATTTACTTTGCCTTAGGATAATTTTCGAATTGTATGTTTCTCTATGAGCCAACTTCAGTGGTGATACATTATAACTGTGTCAATTTAAAACTGTCATCAAATTTCACTTAACGGTTTGCACTATGTGTCTGTTCAGCAATACTTTTAACCCTCTCAGTGGTACTTTTTGCTTCTAAATAAAACCTTTTTGGTTAAAAAAAACTATGCAAAAATAATACTGATTTGGAGATTTATTACATTTCTCAATCCTACTTTTTTATTATTTGGCATTTATGCCACACAGCAATTCTTTGGTATAAACGTAGCTGTGTTGGAAGCTGCAAGTTAACCTGGAGAGTGTTAACAGCAGCTCATAGAATAGACTGGAATTCCCTCCTCACCCTGTATTGACAATATGTTGGGTGGTTTTATTCAAAGAAGGGAGAGGGATGAATAAATCGGAACCAGTGCTTTGTCCTGCGAGTATCAAAGACTGACTTCATTCTGTACCAGCATTGTGTTCACCCTGTGCCCTTGACGTCATCACCATCTTCTCTGAGTATGTCTATCAATTGCTTAGATTTTACTTGTATGTTAAATGCTGAAGTCATTCTTGGGAGATTACGAAGAGCTGAGTGAGAAATGTCACAGGATGACACACCTGTTGAGTTTACTGTGTGCGTGACTCGTTTTTCCCTCCACTCACGAGATCGACGCACCATCCCAATGGTTTGCTCCAGAGGCACTTGTGTAAACCTACTTGCCGAGTAAGTTGAGCTGTAAATCAAGTGGGCCTCTGTTTTGCTTTGAGGCTTTGTACATGGTTCTGCGTATTAATCATGTGTAAACAAATCCGTCTTCAGATGTCGGCCTGACCTGGACTTGACTTGTCATTTACATTTTGCATCCCTGACGTGAATGAGAGCAGGAAGCAGCACTAATTAATTTGATGCCTTTCAAGATGCTAAAACTCCTCCAAACATGGCACCCGTTTTTTTTAAAAAAGGCATTCTGGACATGAGTTTATCGAGAAAAGTGAGCTAAACATTCAGCACATTATTACAAACTCTCTTGCCATTCTGGAGACTTTTGCTCAAAAGGTATAGAGCTGTGAAAATTTATTTGCAGGGAATTGATTTCCTGTAAAAAAAATCAAGAGGATTCTGTACTCAACATTTTGACTTGATATGTTTGCTTAAACACAGGTTGTTCAATTTGTTAAATGCATTATGTGCACAGTTCCATTTTAATAACCATCTTGCCCTCCATCTTCCAGTTGATTGGCGTATTTTAATGGCCTAAATTGACTTGATTGTTGCATTCAGCAAGGTTTCAATCAGGTGCAATTAATCTGCCTTAAAGAGATTGATCACCTGGAGTGAGCAAGTATCTAACGCTTGCGGTTTACTATGACAGCAAAGCTAAAATAAACTTTGTGCAATTAAAACTCTGAATTTGGAAAGGGTTGTACATTTGTAATGGATACGTGTAAGTGAGTTACAAGACTGTAATCCAATCCCCTGGTTCAGGTGACCTCCTAAACTACAAGAGCAAAGCTCACACAGTTTATGTTAGTCATACGAAACCCAAGATTGGATTACTGCCTGCAACTCACAGGTATCTGCTATCAATTATGAAATGTGCCAGATATAGTCAATTTTCAGATAAAAACATTGGGGTTTGCTATTACAGTCCTTCTTTCGTTGATGTGGAGGTTTCCAGATGCTTGAAAATTATGCTACATGAACTATAACAAAGGCCATTATTTTTAAGACCCTAGAACGTGAATGTGTATTGGATGGTGTAAGAAGACCTGCAGTATTGTCCACTTCACATTGAATTTAAGCTAGTGACGAGCAAGTGTATTGTACACTGGAGACTTTGCTAAGCAATTTATTGCAGTGTTTAAATGACTCTTGGTTTCACTGTATAAAGAATAAGGTGTGTTAATGTTGCTCTCTGAATCAAGGTACTTAGTAGTGGTCCTAGTATACAAATTAATGTTAGAGAAATAAGTACTTTTAAGAAATTGAATGAAAATGGTGGTTAAGGTCTATTTTCACATGCGGAAACCCATCACAGTGCTTAAGAGTATTCAAACCAAACTGAGAATTCAAAGCATCCCACCTTTACATGGAATTTCCAGAGATAGATTGTTGGAATGGAATACATACTGACTCCCTGGAGGACGCATCCTGCTTACCTAATTCCGGAAAGTATTAGACGCAGGTTGGCAAGATTTCTGCTCAAGTTCTGCACCTCCAATGGTGGAACCATTGTTCAATGGGAAGAGTAATATAAGACTTCTGAAATTGATAAAAGCCCGGCGAGTGGTCAAAAAGTAAGAATTATTTGAGTGCAAAGTAGGAAATATAGATTAAAACATATATCATTAAACAGCAAAAGGAAAGGGTTAGAGAATAGGCATAAGGGTGGTGATAGTAATGCTAAAACCAGGAGAAAATTCTTACAAGTAAATATCGTGGGTGGGAAAGAAAGAGCAAATAACAAACCAAAAAAAAACAGAAGAGAAATAATCTTTAAAATGAAGGAAAGCTTAACGCTTTGATATGAATGCTAGGAACATATGGAACAAGTTTTCAACAATTGGAAATTGTAGGTTGAATGAAAAGTGCAATATAATTGGAATAGTGGAAAACCTGGTTAAAGCAGGACATTGCCTGAGAGATGTGCATACCAGGATTTAAAATTTAAAGAAGGGACGTGCAAAATAAAGTAGATGGGAGAGGGAACTGACTACAGATAATAGATCAAATGGAAAACATTTGTGAAAGGTAGTCAAAACGTCTTCTTTTTAGAAAGCCTGTTTCCCAAGAACAGGAGAGTACTTAGTAGACCATCTCTGTTTAAATCCAGCAAACTAATTCCTTTGTAAAAATACACAAATGTTCCTGAAAGAACAATTTCAAAAGGTAAAGGCACAGTCCCGCACAATATAGCTTTCTCTGTATCCAAAGGGGCACAAGATAATTGTCAAGGCACTTCTTGGCTTTAATATATTTGGCTAAAGATCAACCGGAAGATTTAATTTTATGCTAGGATTAAGTTTAAAAAGCTTCTTGCTTTAGACTCTTCATAATGAACCGAGTATTTTACATTTAATGCTCTTCACTGAGCTCGCAAAATAAAAATTTGCTAATCATCCCTGCAATTCTAAGTTGTACATTGTGTGTACACAGGATTTTGAAAAGCTTGACAAAAGCGTTGTAAAGTAGGGATTTGGTCCTGCTTTGGCTGGAAGAAATCATTGTGCATTGTAAGGTTTTATCATGTGCACCAAGTATATGGCAAAAGAATGATGGCACTGCAGACGTCTGCCCATTAGTTCTAAGGCGGATGCAACTACTTTCCAATTATAATTACAAAGCATTTGCCTCTAATCAATGGAGGTTAAGCATATCTATAGCTAAGTATATGTGAAATGGATTTGTGGGAATTTAAGATTTTTTTTTCCCTTCAAGTCTTCAAACACATACTTTATGCCTAAATGCATCGTAGCTTCAGATAATTCCTGGAAGTGACTTTCTGATTAAGGACTCTACCACTTGTCTTTTAAGCAGTTTTTGCATTTCACTGTACATACCAAATCTCACCCGCGCAAAAAATCCTACAATTTTTTTGTAAATGTCTTAATATTTGCTAATAATGGTGATTCAGACGATTGGATATGATGGGATTGGTATATTTTAAAAAGGACTGGTTGGTAGGAGAAGGAAAGGATGCATACTTTAAGCCAACTCCTAACCAAAGGTATCATTATTACATGAAATCACTGTCCAGAAAGAAATACTTGGGTAACTTCTATAAGCTAAATTTCTAAGTGAATGTAAGCTGTTCTTCCTTAATAGTTTGCCTTAAAAGCATCTGTTTTCGTTTATCGTCCTGTACTTAAAATTTGTGCCTTGTATCTATAAACCTCCATTTAATCTTACTGGAAAAATTGAATACAGGATTCCAGTTGAGTAAAATATTGGATTGTAAACCATCATGGTTTGTAAAATGCATTCTGCAGTAGCTACTCTTCCTGAAAAATGTCCCTGTCATGTAACTTACTCCATCCAACTGAACTTCAGTTTTCAGCTGTCTCCACAGTACAGTGGTGAGTGGTTAAATAATAATGGTTTTGTATTAATGCACAGTCTTCAAAAAGAACTTTAGATACAAAATCACAATTCTGCATATATCCATACATCTATTTAGCTTTGTGACTTATTTTGTTTCCCCATAAAGTACTGTCAATTCACTTTACAGTGTATCCTGTGAAGCGCTTTGAGATGTCTCAAAGTGGTTAAAGGCAAGTAAGGGAGATTTTCTTTGTTGCCTCTTTATGTGCCATTTGAAGAGATTCTATATGAAGTAGATTCCAACTCCAAATTGTTCCACTATTGCAACTGTCTCATTGTTTCCATCATATAAAAGGGCATCAGGCCCAAGTTTGGCAGGACTTGAAACTACAGTTGAATCTCCACAAGTAATTAAACCTGTGGTCCATTGCAACTCCTTCTCCTGATAGGTATGTTCTAACTCCTGTGCTAATTGAAAGTTACATTGTATTCACAGTTGATTTCCTCTTAAACGCATTATGAATTATTGCTCTTTGACGTTTGTACTCTTGCTAATAGGTTGAACAGCCACAACAAAGTACACATCTCAAAAGGGTTGAATATTCTTGCTGATTTTAAACCACTTTATACCTTTAAAAATGTCTACCGGACGACCTTTCACCTCTTTAATGTATTAAGAGACCGGCCGTGCTTTCCAGACGCATAAATCCAGCAGCGTAATCGTCTGACTGTTGAATCAGATTGAAAATATGTCTGCATCAAAGTGATGAAAGTTTTCTTGCAATGAATAATAACACTGAATTTGAAGGAGGACCCTATTGTTCTTACAAGTATAATAAGAATTTGTTGAGGGGGGAGATGGACAAAATTCTGACTGGGTGAATTAAAGGTGGAATATTGCCTAGAGTGAAATAAGTTTCCTGTAGCTATAGATAATGGATATAATACAAATCAGACTTTAAGTACTGCCTTTTACTCTGGTTTACATTAACCCTGATAAGCTCATGCATTTACCAATTCCTAAATCAAACTTGTGAACACTGAAACACTAGGCAGATTATTGGAACATGCCAGATTCTGTATAACGCATTCTTTTCTGGTTGACCAGGCTACAAGTGCCTTAGATGCTGAAAGTGAGCACCTTGTGAAAGAGGCCATTGATCGGGTTATGCAAGAGAGGACTGTTTTGGTAATTGCGCACAGGCTCTCAACTGTAAGAAATGCCTCCAAGGTAAGTTTGAGAAAAGGAAAGCATTTTGGTAAAAGAGCTTGGTGTGGGCAAGGTGGGGTGGAGGAGGTAAGTGAAAGAGTTGGCTGCATTTGTGCTGCTGAGAGCCAAATCGGAAAACCTGATTTATTCTCCCTACTTCATATTGCAAGAATCGAGAATAAAAATTGCAACCAGAGTTGGTTTTATTCACTGTTAGTAAAAGGTTAGCCTCCTGATGGTGGAATATCAGTTCACACTGGTTCACTACCACATGCTGAGCTTCCTCTACCACATGCTGAGTGGAGATGGCACCCAGGAACAGGCCCCTGACTGCTCAACTAGTTCTGACTGCTAGTTGGTAGGTGACTGCAACTGAGAGGCTAAATTCTTCCTGTTGCTCCACATATCTCTTGGAAGGCACGAGAGGTGCAATGGAAGCCACAATGACTGCCCTCTCAGCTATGGATAGTAGATAATACAAGGCCAAGCGAGTTGAGAATCTTTTGGCGTTTTTTTGACAAAAAGAAGTAAATCTCAGTGTAACATTGTAAATTAACTTCACCTGAGAATCTCTCACAAAAGCAAGAACATCTTCACGCTTGGGTTTATATTCACTAATACTTAATACTTTTAAGAAGTTAGTTATGTACTGGGTTTTAACAAGGAAGGCTTCTTCTTGCATCATCAGCGGCCCATGTTCAATGGCACTCCTTTCTCTTCAACGCTGCATTAAGCAGATCCTTCAGAGCAGGCAGAGTAAAGATAAGACTACTGAACTGACAGTAACACCACCCTCTTTGCACTCAAAGAGACTCTTAGCTGGTTTACCTGAAAATTAAACCCTCTACACTGGATCCTGATGAAACAGAGTTCTTTCTTCCCTACTTACTGCTCGTCTTCCCACCCCTCCCCTCCCCTTATTTTGATAAACTGTAACGGTGAAGCAAAGTCTTTTTTGTGGTAAAAGAATTTAATCTCAAAACAGACTAAACAAACTGACACCAGTGATAGAAAGCAGATGCATTCCTCAGGATGCCCTTGGGTTAAGTCACCAGAGTGCGGCCACTTGACTTTTTAACCACAGTGAATAGATTCATTCAGGTGTTTGCAGCGGAATTCTTCAAATCGGATCAGTTCGATGTAATAATTAGAGACACCTGCTTACTTACCCTTGAGTAATTGTCAAGTCACAAGGCATCGTCAGGTTATTTTCCAACAGGTTTTCTAATCTGGTAACCGACTCTTATTAGCCAAGACTCAAATTCTCATTGTGTGTCAAAGTCCAGGCTCTGCAAAAGAATGGTCTAAATCATCCTCTCTGCATTGATCTGAGGTCTGTAAAATTACTTTTTAATGCATGTTATTATATTTAAAAAATAGGTCACTCAATCCACACCTGTTTGTGGGACACTTCTGTGCGCAATTGGCTGCCGTGTTTCGCCCCCAAAATGAACAGTCAGTTCACTTAATAATGTACTCTGTGAAGCGCTTTGAGACGTCTCAAAGATGTGATAAGACGCTGTATCAAATGCAAGGATTATTATTGTTTTATTCTTTATTCTTTATCAAGGTGATTGTTGTGGAGAAAGGAAGGATAGTGGAGTGCGGGACCCATAAAGAGCTGTTGGAGAAGGGAGGCATTTACAAGAAACTAGTCCTCCGTCAACTGACTGCAGGCTCGGCGGACTTTGGAGGCGATGACGGCAGTTTCAATCTCATAACCTCACAGAATAAGAACTGGAAGAATGCAAGTATTGATGTGGAAGACTGAAGAACTGGTTAATATTCATCCGGAAACACTGGAGAGTTTGAACCAGCCTCGATTAGCCAAAGAGGAAAGGCAATGAGCCTGTGACACAAGCCCTATTTACACCACAGCTGCATCCGCCCTTGAACACTTGCAGCTAATTTTGATCAGCTAAACATTACTGGATGGTGCAGTTATTTATGCTAAACTTAATTCAAACTTAAACATTAGAAACTCACAAGTTTCCGCTCCAATTTGTCTGAATCACATCAGTTACCCACCAGCAGGATTCATGTTAAAAGTCCTGCACGGAAATAATTTCTTGTTTTATTTCATCATTACAGAGAAAATTATTTCTGTTCCATACACTGTACTTCACAAAATGAGCAGTTCCAGATTACATTCTCTAGTAAAAGGCATTCTCCTGATGCAATAAAATGGGATTGAAGAAGGAAATACAAATCATTCTAATGGCAACAGGCTGGTGTGAAGAGCTTAATGTAAATAGGTGCTTATTTTCTACTACAAAAAGACTGTGCATGGCTCATCAGAGAAGTAAGTGGCATTCTGCGTAGGATTTGAGTTGGGATTGTGAATACGTAAAATTACCATTGTTCCTGAAACCCAAGTGTGATTTTTGATGTGAACAGTGAAATAACACTACGATTAACTACCATTAGTTACGGCACTGAAGAGGGACCTCAGTTATAAAGTCAATCTGAACTCGTGAATGCGGGTTTAAAAATTGCTTGAAAAATGATGGGTTAGAAATAGGAAAAAAAACAGCATTTGTAATCTTAAGAAAACTGTCGGGAGTTATGCCTAAAGAAATATTCAACGCATGGCTTTCATTTTCATTGGCGTGTGTGTGTGTGCATATCGAGGCCTAATCTCCAACAGTTTATAATAGTAATAGGTAACTGGAGACATTCCACTGTGAGTCATTCCAGGAAGTATATTCCAAATGGAGTTAGATTGGACGTATTAAGAGCGACATAGCCCTGGTTACCAACTCCAGTTGTGAATCGTCACATATTCATTGTTTCATCTGTTGAATGAAAAACTAATCGGGGGGGGGAATAAAGAAAAGAGTTAGTAAATCCCAAACCTGCTTTAATCTATTGCTTTTGGTTTTTCATTGCATTATTTGTTTCTCAGTCCATTGCATAAAACTGAGAAAGACTGCAGATAAATTGTACTGCATCACTCTGGAAATGGTGCTCCAGTGATGGGTAGATCATGCCAAAATTAAGTCGTTTTAATTGTATCGTCTCTGTCAACACTTCAATTGTCTCAACTAAGGTGCACTTTTTTTTAATATTGTGTTGGCCTGTTACCATTAGTCTTGTGGCAATAGGACCTGTACAAATCAAAACAGAGCTCACCTTGACTGTCAGGCATCGAACAAGATTTTAGCTATCAGAGGCTTATTTTGTCTATATGTTTAAGAGAATTTTTTATAAAAAAAGTTAAATGGTGATTATTGTGTGCAATTGTCTTAATGTGCACTTTATCCAATCAAAAGGGAAATTGTAACGTTTGTTAATTAAACTTTGGAATGGTGTTGTAAGTTTTATTTGAAATTAATATAAAAGTAACCACAGATTTGGAGTAGCAGCCAGACAGTTACTGAATGTTTCAGTTTTGCACTATTAATCCATGCCGTAAATTACCTCATCTGCCACAGAATTTAGTTGCAAGTCATTAGTTTGGTAGCAGTAGAAGTAAAGTTAAAGCTTTTCAGAAACTCGTGAATTGTGCAAAAAGTATGTTAATTAATCTGCCCTTGAGCAGGGCAGAAATTACTTGGATTTCCTAATAGATATTACCAATAGTAACACTGAAACTAAGTCTCATTCTGACTGTGTACATGCCAGTAGAGAATCACCTTTTGTAATTGATCTTTTATTGTCGCCTGTGTTCCCTTGACACACATATATATATATAAAATGTAAGGTATTTTATTCCTCTTATACTGTGCATCTGAATGTTTCTGTGGAAGCTTAGTTTTCATACATCCAGATTAAAATAAAACATTTACCAATCATCCCTGAACCTTATTTTCTGTTTACGAACCCTATTTAACCTGTTAACTAAGTCACAATTGGAGGAAAAGCGAAAAACAGATCTGCAAAAGGGAAACGCCTTGAACTTGTAGGAATTCTTCATGCAACGATCGGAATCACTAGCTTTTGGTTAACGCTTGCTTGGCTGCTTCTGGATCTTATTACGTCATGTCGCAGCTTGTTACTCAGGTAAAATTTATACCAGACCAGCCTTGTAAAAAGTATCCATTCTAGTAAAAAGCCTCACAACTAATTGTGATATTAAGACAACTGCTAACAGGTGTGGTTTATTAATTCCGGCAGTGGAGTATGTTAAAGCATTCTGTTGAGTCAGCAAATGCAGTTCAACATAACAATTTGTTTCCCATAATTAGTTTACCTTGAAACCAGCACGTTGTTAATGTGTAACAATATCTCTTGATAAATGTGGGGGATGTATATTACTAAAGGATGGTATTGATTATTTGCTTTTGTCTGGGATGAGGAATTTGTTTTTGATTGGAAAACCTGGATTTTAGGCACTTGACCTGAAATGAAAACTCAGGTCTAGTCTTCGCTCTTTCACACACGTACGTACATGAGTGCGCAAACTCTGGGACCCTACCCTGTGTGAACGGCGCTATATAAATGCAAGTTAGCTGACCAGCACATCTAAAAGTTTTTCGCGCTTCCAATTTCCTTCTAAAGGCGACTTGTGCAGGATATAGTCACCGGCCTTTCTCCAAGTCATATTGGTTGTTCTTAACATGTGTTAAGTTCGGACAGGGAGTGAGACAGGCTTTCAATTGGGGGTTGTGGGGCATTATAGCCAAGCTAGTTTCCCCACCCACCCCGCCCCGCCGCCCACCCCCCCTTATTCTCATAATAATTTGAATATCCACATGCGAGTACGTTCCAGTAAGGATTATTCGTAAAAAATCTGGAATGGGAGCTTTGCATTTTTTTCATTTTGCTCCTCTCGTTCCCTCCATTGCCTTCAGCCAACACACTCCTCTCTCCTGGAACTCTTCCAAAACTACTTGGCCTTGCCAACTTCTCTCATCTTCAAGAAAATCCTGAAAATTTATTTCTTCCACCATATCTTTGTTCAACATCTTTAAATCTCTTTCCATACCGCCACCCTCAGTTTAGCTCATGTTTTATTTAACTTTCATTTCTTTTCAAAGTCAATTTTCCACTAATCTTAAATATTTATCCACTGGCATTGGAGTTTGATTTATATTAGTAAGATGACAGAGTGAATATTGCTTGAGAACGCTCAGCCTGTGCCCCCCAGCTCTGCAAATGGAAATTCAGGGCTTTCATTGTGGTTGCATGTCATCACGTTGAGACACTGTGCATTCCAGTCCGATTCACTCATTCTGTATGATTTTTTTGGTAATAAATCTTAAAATTCATCTAATACAAATGCACAGTTTGATTAACAAATGCATAGTCACTACACTTTATGGTGAAAGATTCTGTGAAGCGCTTTGACAACACGATGAGGCTCTCTGCATCAATTGCAAGGATTGATTTTTATTTTACAATAATTGCTCAAAATAAGAGCAATAATAATAATACTTGCATTTGATATAGCACCTCATCACATTGTTGAGATGTTTCAAAGTGCTTCACAGGATATATTATAAAGTGAATTGACTATATTTTGGGATGAAACATTTTTATATGTGAAAAAAAATACAATTGCCAGGGCAGTTGTTTTATAGCTTGTAAGAAGATTTCAAGAAACTGCAGCAAACACACTAACGAGTAGTGGAGAACACGTGTAGGCAATGATCTAATGCTCGTGCATTCGTTGTTCATCTCATTCACCACAACACGCCCCAAGTGGCTTCATCTCCACACACTTTCTCTTGAAATAGAGATTAGCACGACTCAATAGAAATGGATCTTAAAAGCACTGTAAATATTCTCGTGCAAACGGGAATACACAAATACAGTGCAGCAAGAATCTAGCTTTGTGTCTGAGCCAAGTCGGTCTCTCTTGAGATTGCTGTTTAATTGAAATAGATGTTGGCCAAAAAAAATAATCCCAACACTCAATAACAATACCTGCTGTGTGGGCAGAAAGTAGTTGTAGATTTCTGAGATTCACTTAATTCACTCAAGATTCACAAAAAAAAGTGATATTATAATAATAATATTCCTTGCATTTGATATAGCGCTTTTCACGTCGGGAGGACGTCCCAAAGCGCTTCACAGAACACACTGTAAAGTGAATTGACTGTATATTTGTGGGCGAACGCGGCAGCCAATTGCGCACAGCAATGTCCCACAAACAGTCGTAGATTGAAAATGACCAATTTTATTATTGTTTTTGGTTTTGGAGGGATTATTATTAGGGCTGTGTGTGGAGTAAGGAAACTTGCCCAAGGTTTCGCCCTCTGCCTGGAATTGAACTCAGATCTCTCGCTTGCAAAGCGAGTGCTCTAACCACTGAGTTACAGGACTCCACGAGTCGCCTTTAAGTGGGATTGGTTAGAGTGGAGTGTGATCTGTTTAGTGTCTTCAGTTTGAAGTCTAGTTTTGAGTGGTGTGTGTGTGTGTGGGATGGGGGAAGAAAAGTTTTTATATTTACAAAAGCCTAAATAGCGCCCTCTAACAAGACTGCTAGGAGAAACACTATCCATTGACGATGTCATAAAACTTTATAAAAGTTGCTGGCAAAGTAACCGCAAAACTCTGGGGGTCACTTATGATGGAAACTTTACAACTTGGGGCAAGTATTTCGCCTCGAGTATCATTTAATGTAGAAGTGGTCAGTTGATTTTCAAATCTCTCCCACCCCTCTTTCTTTCTTTCTTTCTTTTCTTTCTCTCTCTCTCCTGAACAAGATTAAACGTGTAGCTTGAACATACCGAGATACTTACAATAAGTATGACAAAGATTTGGTTGAGTGTTGGTTGTGTGTTGTGGGTGGGAGTGGGTGGGGGGGAGAGAGAGAATGGGGGAAGAGTCAGGTCGTGAGATGCAAAACTTGTGCAATCCTTAAAATATATAAAATAAGGCAGTTCAGGTTTTGTTGTGTGGGTGAATAAAAGGGGGTGGGATTGAGCTGGAGGGAGGGATGTGTGTGGAACTTGATTTGTCGCTAATCTACTGAGAGGAGGGGAGAAAAGAAAAGGAAAGGTCTGATGCTGTCTCAGCTAAGCACTCCCATCAGAAAGAGCTCAATCCCAATACCTCCTGGAGATACACACACACTGGGGGTGTGTGTGTGGTGTGTGTGTGTGTGTGTGAGGTGAACATCATCAAATCTGCCTTTATTTCCCATTCCAGTTTTTAAGCCATTTGCAGATTGTAACCAACTCTCAATGAGTGGCTACATCTTTAAAGCTCCAGTTGACGTCTGCAATTAACTGGGCATTGTGTGTGTGTGTGTGTGTGTATGTGTACGATTTAAGCACTTGATTTGTTTTGCTGTGGGCAATCTTAAGAATTTTTTTTAAACCCCTCCATCACCCCTCTTTATTTCCCCCTGACCCAGTGAAAAGTCACTCTTGTTAAAATCCCACACGAGAGAGAGAGTGAGAGAGACTGTTTTTTTTAAAACGAGTGCTGGAGATAATAACATTGGGAGCATCAAAGACCAGGAATAATGCTGAACACCGTGAAGGACATTACTGTGGCTGTGAACACCAACACTTTCAGAAGTCTTCAGTGGTGTCTGGCATCGTGGAGAGGTTTTCAATTCACTTTCTTCCTTCTGTACATAGTCCCTCTCGTTTGCCCTTCTTGGGGGACAGGTTTTCAGTACAAATATCCATCGACCCTACAGACCAGCAAAGATCAATTGGCAGCTGGGTTTCTCAATCGAAGGTAAACGGATTTATTATTCATTCATTAATTAATTGATTGAGTAAGTAATGAAATTAATGAATTGAATGAATTAACTCGAGCTCTTTATTTTCCTTCCTAAAGCGGTTAGCTGGTTGCTCTAAAGCGAGGTTAATCCATATTATTAATAAGAATTCCTGCACTTGGTGCTGTGCTTCAATCACATCGTTCTCAAAGCACTTCAGGGAATATACTGTAAAGTGAATTGACTATATTTTGTAGGTGACCTCCAGCAGCCAATTGCGCACAGCAGTGTCCTTAATCCATCCCTGGTATGTGTGGGTGTGTTTACTTACAAAGGCATATTGTGAAAATTGTTGGGACAAGTGCTTTTGATATGCCTGGAAATGAAAACAGAAAAACCCGAGGGTAAAGTTGTACAGGGAATATAATATAAAAAGCAAGTTGTGATTGTGTTTTTTTTAATTAAAGAATCAGTCAGATGTCAGTTCTGTACTGTACAATGCTGGAGTGAGTGAGTATTCGTTCCCCATAATTCAGATCTCTTGAGATACCACAAAACTCCCACCAATATGCAGTCGATGAAGCGTTTAAGCAGTTTTGTTTATTTGTTTTACTTTTTTAGAAAAACTAACATTTTTTGTATTGTCTAACAAAATTAACATTCTTCCCAAGGATTTGTAACAAGTGCTTACAAATTTGGATTGTATCATATGCCCTGTCCCCTGATCTGTCTATATATAAAACGACTGTGTAAAAAAAAAACTCCCCAACTCCCTCCCCCCACTGCGTAATACGAGACTTGCCTAACTCGCCCGCTTCCATGTGTTCTGAATAAAATGCCAGCCCGCAGGATGGAAATGACTTTGGCTGGGGATCTGTGTAATGGATTCTGGTTCCATCTCGTCTCAAGCCCTTCCTCTTTGACTGTGCCTTCGGTCATCCACTTACCACCACCACCCTCCACCTCTCTTGATTCCAACACCCGGCTCGGGTTCAAACCCTTAACTCTCCAGTGATCTTTCTGATGTGAAAGGCACTGTGTAAATGCAATTAGTTGTTGTTGGTTCTGTGTGTGTGTGTGTCTGTCTCTCAATCGGCTGTTGGCTTGAGACACCCACACCTTGTTTAACAGTGACTTTGTAAAATGATTGACCTGTTCAGGAAAGTAGTGAGCTGTTGTTTTTGGGGGGTTTGGGGGGTTGGGGTTTGCGAGGGGTGGGGGGGTTCTTTTACAAGCTTTTTTGCAGAAATAAAATTAAAACTTTTTGCAACGCAGACACCAACGATGAAACTTGCAGTAATATAATTAAGCAGCCTCAGTTTATTAGTGTAACATCTAACATTGGAAACCTGCCCAAGGCCCCTGACCCCTTCTTGCTATCCTTTTTAAATGTCTCCTTCCTTTCGAGCCGAGGGGGAAGAGAAGATATCGAGGTCAACCAACCCTCCCCTCCCATCCATACTTGCAGAAATGGCCAAACTTCCTTCCTAAAGGCTTATAAGTGAGGGACAGCATAGAAATCTACAGCCAAGTATGCCTCCAGTCTGCAGCAAAACAAAAGTGGCAGCTAAACTTTATAATGCTGGCTTTGGCTTTGTGGATTGTTTGACTATCTGTTGTGGGGTTGATGTCAGTGTACTGTACTGGCAATGTTTCTCTTGATGGAGAGATGTGAGGAGGTGATGGGGGGGGGGGGGGGGGGAGTTGAACACTACTTTCCCTGGGACCAGTACACTTGAATCTTCTCTCTTTCTCACACTCACTCACGACTCTTTCTCTCAAACTCACTCATCCTCTCTCTCTCCCCCGACTCTCTTTCACAGCCCCCCACCCCCATCTCTCTCCCTCTCACACACAGTCACTGCCCCTCTCTTTTTCTCTCTCTCACCCTCTTTCTCACCCTTTCCCTTTCTCTACCACCTCTCTCTCATTCATACCAACTCACTGGACTGAGGGGATGGGATAACCATTTAATATTTTTGCCCACCTCTCTCCTCACTAAGATAAGCAAAGTCTTCCTTAACCAAGTGATAGTCAATGCTAATCACCCAGTCTTTGTTTTAAGAGTTAGTCCTTAATCAACTAAAAAAAGTCCCCTCCTCTCCCGCTTTTCCCCCCCCCAAAAAGAACATTTCAGCCAAAATGTATTTTCAACGGATTGAATTGGAGTGACTTAAACCCATTTGGTTACAATTGTAGGTTATTACTAACAGACGTGCAACATTGATTTGCTGGGTTATTATTCAGGGCCAGGATGCAGTGGAGAGTTGTATGTTCTTGATTATTTTCTTTGCCAACACTGCTGGCACATTGCTGTGGTGGAGAGCGTTGGGAGAGAAGGAGGGTGGGGGTTGGCATTTGGCAAGGGCGGGTGAAGTCCTGCAGTGCCCTTTGTAGTTCTGCCAAGTTTTTTTTGAATGAAGTCAGGCAGCGTCCCTGGCGATCTCTGGCGTGTAAGCTCTCCAACAGTACACAGGAGCGAGATGAATGGAAGGGAAAGACACACAGACAAGACAGGAGTGTGCACAGAAAGCCTATTATTTTTCATACATGGCCACACATTTATCCATTAAACTCCCAATTATAATCCATTAACCAAACACCACAGGACAAATGCGTGTTAAATGATATCACTTTGCATTTATTTTTACAGTTTCCACTAAATAAATTATAGCACACTACCATCCCGGCTGCTCTTTTGACTCAGAAACAATTACCAGCTTCATATTTCCCAGTCTCTCTGGCCCACTGTTGTTGGGTTGGCTATCAGCCATTGGGTCCGGATTCCCTCCAACTTGCTCCCACCCTCGCCTCGTTCGAGACCCATCTCAAGACGTACCTCTTTGCGTTTTCGGTTATCCTTCCCTCTCCTTCCCCCCCCCCCCCCCCCAGCCAGCAGCGTTGAACACTTCGAGAAGCTCTCCTGACATGGAAGGCGCTACGCTACGTAAATGAAAATTGTATTGAATTGTAAATCTCTAGTTTAATATACTCGAGGATTTGACCTTTTAACTGTCTTAGCTTTGGCAAGACCACCCAAGAACTGGGGTTTAATAAGGGGGGAGGAGGAGAGCTAGAAAGAAACTTGAGTGCAGTTCACTTTGACTGGCATGTTTACATTACACGTTTTACTAATAGCTTCCAAACCAGCAAATGTGGAATTGTGCCCGTCAGGAAGGCTTAACTGTTTGCTATTGATGTGAGGTGCTTTGCTGGAGCAGTGTGTGAGCAATGTTCTAGTGAGCAGCAATAATAATCCTCCCCTTGCATTTTGACACATTACCATTCAAGTCTTAAAGCACTTGACAGTATTTCATCTCCCTACCTCTCCGACCTGCTTATTCTCCAACCCACTACCTGTTGCCTCCGCTCGACTGGCTCTGGCCTCCTGTATTTTCCTTGTACCCTTTTTTCCACCATCGGTGGCGGCGCTTTCAGCTACTACGCCCCCAAACTCAGGAACACTCTCCCTCAATCCTTTGCCTTGGCCCCTCCTTCCCCAGCTGCAGGTTCTGTCTGAAGACCTTCCTCTTCGACCGTGTCTACGATCACCTCCCCCAGCTCGGCATTGTGCTCCGCCACTATGAAGAGTTCTGGGACGCTACCCTGCACGAGGGGAGCTATAACAATATTGGTTAGAGCACTCTCCTCTCAAGCTTTGAGACATCTCAAAGACTCAATAAGCAGTCATACCAAATGCAAGGATTATTAGTATTAAATCCAATTGTTGTTGACAGGTTTGCACTGTGAAGGGCAGTGACTGCCTCTCGTTCCTCAGCAAAATGTGGAGAGTGCTTTAATCTAACCTCTCCAAACCACCTTGGATTATTCTCCAGAGCAGTGATGGCCAGCCTTGTTGGTTGGCCAAACAAAAAAAAAAGTCTTCATTGAATATTTCTTGATTTATGGCTGCATCATAAATATCTCTATTCAGTAGTTACTGGAAACAAAATATTGATTTAACACAGACTCACCTCGACTAGTACTGGTTGGCCACCACTGTGATCTAGAGGTTTTGAGACGGATTTTTAACTATTTGCTTAGGGATCCTGCTAACCCTGCAAGCCAAAGCCATGACAGGTGGGGTGGTCCTAGCTGGAAAGCTTGCCAGACAGCGATATCAATGACAAGTTATGTGTTTTTAGCTGGTTCGACTCCAGCAGTTACCCCAACACACACTCTGGGCTCGCCCAAGCCTTGGCTTTTGACAACTATTATTATAACCTGGGCCTAATACTTTCCGGAATTAGGTAAACAGGATGTGTCTCTCCAGGGAGGGAGAGAGAGCGCATTCCTTTCCAATAATCTATCTCTGGAATTTCGATGTGGAGGTGGGATGCATGGAATTCTCAGCTTGTTTTGGAGACTCTTTAGCATAGTGATGGGTTTATGCATGTGTCAGACACCTGGCTGGCCGAAGAAAACGTGGGTATTCCAACCAACGGCCATGTGTGTTAAAAAGAGTCTTCTTTTCCTCCCTTGTGAATAGGAATTGGTGCCCTTACACGGTCACGAAAACCATCTCCTGCCAAGTGCAGAATGGGACCTACGTGCAGCGAGTTTACCAGAGCTGCAGGTGGCCTCTGGGCTGCCCAAGTGGCATCAGGTAAGATTACACCTGTGGCTGCCTCCTCCTCCTTTCCAGTGTTGGTTGTATCCGCTGTGTGGTATTGGGGGTGGGGGAGGCTCACTGCTCGGATTCGAAAGGGACCGGCCCGGTGGAGGGGGTGTTCTGAGCGCAGTTTCCCATGCCACGATCACTCTGTGTCACTCAATCCGTGTGCGTTTCGAGATTGATGATGCAGCGGATTGCAAAACCGGCGGTTTCAGAACTCCATGACAATTGATTTGCGTTGATTGATTTTTTTGATTGGTATTGATTGGTTTTGATTGATTGGTTGGTTTCCGATTGATTTCCGATCGATTGATGAAAACAATTGATATAAAACGTAATATGGCAAAAAACAAACCTCTGCAGTTACAGGGCGGTGTTGCGGCCGACATACCGGCTGACGTACAAAACGGTGACGGCGATGGAGTGGAGGTGCTGCGCTGGTTTCAGAGGGACGAGCTGCGAGGAAGGTGAGGAACCTGATAGTCAGTGTGGTTCAACGGCCACTTCCTTCCCCACCCGTGCACCCCCCCCCCACCCCACTCCTTCCTATTCCCCACACACACACTCACGCCCCACACAGCTGCGGAAGCTGGTTCTATCCGACCCTCCACCCACAAGGCTGTAGTTTTGCCATTTGGCTGTCGATGAACTCAAGGTCAAAAGGAATGATGCATTAAGATGATAGAGCATTAAGAGGTTTATAGAGTTGCAAGGACAATTTTGCGGCAGGAGTCAGGAAGTATTCCTTTACTCAGAGGGTAATGAACAACTGAGATGGGGTTGCCACTAAGGATGGCTGAGGCTAGGAATGCCGGAAGGCCGTAGTGGGAGGACGGTGGGATTAGGTATATTCTGTAGGGATGAGATCAAATGGGCCGAACGGACTTCTTCATTTTGAACCGATCCTGTGAAGTTTGAAGTCAAATGTGTTAGCAGACGGGAGACAGATTGACATTGAAACTGGTGTTAGTTGACCCAGAGAAGCTTTACAGCTGCTATAGACATCTGCTGAAAGCCTCTGGTCTCTCTATCTCTCTCTCTCTCTCTCTCTGTCGGTCTGTCTCTCCTCTCGTTGTGTTGTTGTGTGTGAGGGTGAGAGCTCTGTTCACTACACTGTCAACAGCTGTTTTGAAACGAGCCTTAAAAGAAAACAGCGCGACTTGTTAACTGTAACAATATTTGCTTCCTTTCCAGTTGTCTGTGTCTCGCAAAACACTTTGCATCATTCATTTTGTAACTTAAAACGCTTTAGCAGTGGTGGGGTGGCTTTTGCTGTAACTCTGCTATAATTGCCCTTCTCTACCTGTACACGTACATCACTTCTAACAGCACCCCCCACCCCCCAACATGTAAACATTGCATTATTTTCATCTCCAACCACAAGGCAGCCTTAAATAACCAGTGACCCGCCCGCTGTCTAGCGATGAGATCACTATCTGGTTCCAATTACCCAGCGTAAAATCGAGCGTGTTGTCATGTGGGCACGTTGCCTGTTAGTCGCACTACTGTGCAGAGCTTTGATCATCTCTGGGGTCGGATTGCTTGGCGATAGGATAACAATAATAATCCTTGCCTTTGATGCAGCATCTTGTCACCTTGTCGATGTCTTGCGGCGCTTCACAGGACTTTCTTTGTGTGTGTGTGTGTGTGTGTATGTGTGTAGATAGATATATATATCATACTGCTACTACTACCTACCTACTCTTACCCCTCCCTCCCTGCCTTCTGCCCCTTCTGTTCTCCAACCCCCAGCTCAGGTCCAAATCCCTCACTATCCAGTGCCTCGGGACGTCCTCTCGATGTGTAAATCTAATTTGTTGTTGTTGTGCATTTTTAGTAGATGAACGAAGGCAGCCAATTTGCGCATCGCGACGTCCCCGCAAACAGCCGTGAAAGGGAATGACCAATTTTTCTTTAAATTAGGGGAATGGGAGGAGGGGAAATAATAATGAATAATAATCCTTGCATTTGATATAGCGCTTTTCACATGTTCTCGATGTTTCAAAGCGCTTCACAGAATATACTGTAAAGTGAATTGACTCTGTATATTTGTGGGTGCAATGCGGCAGCCAATTGCACAAAGCAGTGTCCACAAACAGTTGTGGATTCAGTGACCAAATTAGTAATTTTTAAAAAAAAAAATTTGAGGGATCAAATCTTGGGATTGTCAGCCAAGACACGGGGAGGGAAGAGAGAGGAAGAAAGAGAGAGAGAGAAAAACTCCTTGTGTCCGGCAACGATGTCATACCCAGTGGATGATGTTGTTTCAACATTGGTGGGGGAGAGAGAGAGAACTTGCCAAAACATCGGAGCCTGTGTCAGCGGCTTCAGTTTGGTCGCTGAGCGGTTCTGTTAGCACAACACCGGTGTTTTTATCCTCGGAACAAAAATTGTTTGCAGAGTGTTAGTTCAGTACATTGGGGAAGTCTTGTGGGGAGAGGGGGAGGGAATCGAGCCAACTTTAACTAAGTACCAAGCACTAAGCAGCGAACTTTTACTCTGCGCTGGTCACCTCCGCCTTTCACCACTGCCTTAATGGCTGAGCTGTGAGGTTGGTGAGCAGCCAGCGAGCTGAAAGCTTGGGAATTAGACATTTTGCAGAGCTGGATTCCCGAGGCGATTAAAGACAGAGCTGGACTGGAGCCAGCCCTCTAAGCCTGGATATCTGCCCAACTTTTTACACGCTGACTGTTACCTCAATGCTATTATTGTTATCATCATCATTATTATTAACATTCCGCCTTATATAACCCGTAGCATATTGGGTAGAGGCAAGTTTCTTTACTCTACTTACCTAGTGGTTGTTAGTCGATTCGCGGAATTGTTTCCATGGGTAATAATCTCCAAAAAAAATAAATTGTTCATTCAATCCACGACTATTTGTGGGTCACTGCTGTGCGCGATTGACTGCCATATCTCGCCCACAAAATACACACAAATACATATAAAAGAATAAGATTAGGGTTAGGGTTATATATAAGATTGGAGGAATATTTAGTTGGGAAATGGTGCGTGCAAACCCACTCACTCAGTTCGATCTGCAGACTGATAGTGAATGTAAACTCTTGACTGGCAAGTCTTTCGAGCCCCTTATTAAACAAGCTGGGCAGTGTTCGAGAATAGGAGAGATTAGGGGAGTCGTGACCATTTCTACTCTATGATGGCCAAGGATAGATTACGCAAAGCGAACCTTTGACTGACTGTAAGTCAACCACAGTCTGTCTGAGATTTTATCTTTAAAATCGCTCGTTTTATTTTAATGAGCATCACCCACCGACTCGTTCCAGTCTAATAAAACAAGACGAGGGAATGAAAAGGAACTTTTTCTCTCAGTGTCCCTGGCCAACCTTTTCTTCCCCATTCCCTTCCTCCCCCGTAAAATAGCCCATTCATTTCATTTGGACTCTCATTCACTTGAACTTTGCTGTGCGCAAGTTGGCTTCCGAGTTTGCCTAGCAAATGCACAGTCACTACACTTTGCAGTGAATCCTGTGAAGTGCTTTGTGACATCCTCCTGACGTGAAAGGCATTGAATCAAACCCAAGGATTATTTTTTCACCATCTTCCCGTTTGTCGGTCGACACTGACATAATTTCCTGTGATCGCCATGTGCGGGAAACACCACCGATGTCACTACTTCTTTTACTCTTTTGTGCACACTACGCAGACACACATACACACACACACATGCGCGCACACATACCCAACCAACAAGATTTAATGTACAGTGAACAGACAGGTCAATGCAGGTGAAAATTAACTTTTTAGGAAGTTTATTGTAGCTTCTGATCTCTTTACAAAAAAAACTTTCACCGTTTTAATGCCCACATTGGATGTAACCTCTCTTGTAACTAATTGCCTCGCTGTGCCACATACTGTAGTTCATCTTTCATTTAATTCCCTTTTTGCTTTTCTCGTTCTCTGTCCCTCAAAGTTTTTCTTTGACAGAGAAAAGGAGAGCAATCCATCATTCTCTAAATCGGTCTTAATGTTTAAGCAAATAAACTGCGTTTAGAAGCAAATGCCCACAGATGGAGGGAGAGGAGAGTAACGAAATGAGTGGTTTAAGACTCTCTTCGGATGTCACATTTTATCGTTCAGCGATGTCTCGGAGTAAATTACTTTGAAGTGCGGTGACTTGTCCTGAAGGCGGAGGACAGTGGGTGGGGTTGGTTTTGGATGGGTTTCCACTGTTATATAGGACGAATGGATTGCTGCAACTGGGCAGTCGGAAATGATTTGTGTAATTGCATTAAGTCTCTGTTTGCGTTTCGAATTAATACCTCGGCATGGCAGGCTAACGAACCCTCCTGCGGTTGTGGAAAATGGTGGGAGTTCACTGTGAAAGGAGAAGGACGAACAGAGCGTCAGAATGAAAGAGAGAAAGAGAGAGAGAGAGAATGAACGAACAAGAAAGTAAGAGAGAGTGAATGAACGAAAGAGAGAGAGAGAACCTGGAATATGCAGAGGCAGATGCTGAAATTTAAAACACTGGTGCTTTATCTGATGTCCTAAGGGTGAGTGCTCTCTGTGGTGGCTAGTTTGCTTGTCCTCGCACTGTTTATTTCTGTAAGGACGGACACACGTACAGTAACTTCATTTAGCTGGCTGGACGCTCACCAACTTACACACAATTGCATATTTTCCTTCCCAGTGTTTTCTTCCTTATGGATGTTGGCATTGTCAAAGTTTGCACATACATTTTACTGCCAAGGAATATTTTTGGAAGAGGAAACAAGTTTCTCTTCCTTCCCCACCTCCCTCCCCCCCCCCCCCACCCACCCCTCCGCGGGTTAAGTGAAGGCACTTCCTGTGAGAGCAGCTGTCCACAAGTTTAGGTTGTGCTGAGTTTCTCTATCTCAGCTGGGGGCAGCCATTGGGGTTACATATTTTTTAAAAAAAGGGACACTGCTGTGCGCAATTGGCTGCCGCGTTTCGCCCACAAAATACAGTCAAGCCATTTTACAGTGTATTCTGTGAAGCGCTTTGAGACGTCTCAACGAAGTAATAAGGTGCTATATCAAATGCAACGATCAGCATCATTATTATTCTTGTTGTTGTTGCGATGACGATGTAACATGGACCTGGAAAGGACCGGAGCATTAACGCAAATCCCTCGTGGGGTCTTTGATTTGCCTGTTGAGGCCGGCTGGCTACAAATGAGATCATTACTGGATTGATAACTAACGGGTGGAAGGATTTAATTATCTGTTTGAAATCCCTGTTTTTTGCGGGCCACTTGTCTCCGTTGGGTGGGATGAGGGGGGTGGGCGCTGGAGCGATGTGTGTGAGTGTGTAGCCTCTTGTTCGGGATCACTGAAGGGTGAACACAGCCTTTGGAGACTCTGAATCTCATTGACAGAGCTTTGTACAGGGTGGGATAGGGAAGGGGTGAGCCTCTGACTGCTATGGGAAAGACTGAGGGAGGATGGGGAGGAGAGAGGGTGGGGGGGGATATCGGTGGAGG